TAATTACCTAATTATAATGCAAAATTGCAAACATAAAGCACCGGCTAACAGATTTATATCATATTTTTCAAATGTCCTGGAGTTCTTGTGATAACTCTAAAGATGTCACAGAGTTCTTATGATAACTTTTGTTATTGCCAGTGTGTTTCTTGCGCTTAATCACGGCACATTTTAGCATTTTTTATTATTCAATGATATTGTAAATCATTATGAAATGTAGAACGCTCATCCTTTGCGCAAAAAATAGGATATATAATGTTGGTTTTGAGTGAATTTTAGTTCAAGAGATATTATTTCTTACCCCCGTTTCTTTTTCATAGTATTTTTTTTTTGTTTGACGCAGATTTCGTAGACTGGAAAAAGGATTTATGTACTGGTTTCCTAGCAGTTTCCGGCTCCTAGCAGTATTCTGGCCCTTTATCATTTTCATCCAGGCATACAGTCTATTTTTTCTCAGTTAAGCATCTATGTTACTTCATCAATCAGAGAAACATTTGTTTTCTATGTAAAACAGCAGTTATAATAGTACAGCGATTAATATGTTTTAAAGTTTTGTCTGTTGTTTTAAGTTACATTAGAGAACTTGCGACACTTACAAGCAACGCCTGGAGAATTCTAGTTTAAATGTCCATGCACAATAACTGAATCCCATTCTAGGTAAATCACTACTTTTAAACAATATATTTGAAGACGACACGGAAAAATTTGGGAAGTTATATCTATTTGAAAAACCCAGCTTAACATTGCTTATTGGTACTGAATTATATTCAAAATAAAATAGGTCCGAAAAACTGCTATGAAATTTTGAATAAATGTGAGCAAAGGTGTTACATCTCAGGCATTTATTCCATAAAAATGCAAAATAAAAGAGCAACATTAAATAGAGGATATTTGTTTAGTTCAGTGTATCTTACACTAAACTAAACAAATTTTCTTTTTATTATATGCAAAGAAACGTTTAAAAAGACATTTAAGCATAGTACTTAATGAAAAGGGCGCCAAATAATAATACAACGTGACGTCATTTACGACGTCACGTCATTTAGTTGGTTTCCATTATTGTGAACGCTTGTATTTCACTGAAACAACGTACCGGGCTCAAATATTCAAAACAGTGAAATTATCAAATTGATAATTTCACTGTTTCAAACAGTGAAATTACCAGTTTATAAATCACTGATATATTTCTATAAACCACCGAAAAGCATGTAATAAAACAAGGTAATGCTGGACAGGTACCTAACTTTGTTCTATCAAAGTTTGCACTCTTCGGTAGACAGATTTTTATTTTATTTGTTAAAAAGTACGATTTGGGACCGGGAACTGCTATGAAACAAGTAGGGCATTTATGTACGTGATAAAATGCGCTTTGAAATACTCAAATATGGTATTTTCATGTATATTGTTCTGTCGATGTATTTTTCCTTTGCAATCTTAGTGGAGGAAACTCTGCTACTTTTGCTTTAATTGATAATAAAAATATAAAGTCAAACTTAGTTCGCTCGAACCTGGAGGGACAGTTCAAATTTGTTCGAGCCAACCGCAGTTGAGTTTTTATCATGTATCGTACTTTTTTTAGACATAGGTGTGGAAATTATCCTGGTTATATACTGATTTCTTATGGTATAAAATGATACAAATTACTTAGCCCTTAGGTAAGGGAAGCATGCCTATATATTGTCTGCTTAAGAAAGGTGGTTGCTTACTGAGAACAACGTGTACGTTTTGAGACATTTTTGTTTTGTGGTTTAAGCAATAATACTGCTAAATATCAGTGGCCGCTGGTTCAATCTTTACTGTAGATGATAGCCAATCACCTATTTATCCTTTGCAGACACTTTAGACCAACGTTTTATCCACATTTTTGTGCAAAGGATGATCGTACTGCATTTCATAATGATTTACAATCTTACTGAATGATAATAAACGCCAAAATGTGCCGTGATTAAGCGCAAGAAACACACTGGCAATAACAAAAGTTATCATAAGAACTCTGTGACATCTTCAGAGTTATCACAAGAACTCCGGGACATTTGAAAAATAGGGTATAAATCTGTTAGCCGGTGCTTTATGTTTGCAATTTTGCATTATAATTAGGTAATTATGTCTGGCAAGGATGAAGACCAGAAATAAACCGGTCAAAACTTGTGAATTGACAAGTAATTTGGAAATTTTAATGAAAACTACCAGATTTGAAGCAAGAGGCGATGAAAAATGGCCTGTGAATTAGTTTTTGACACATTATACAAAATGTAAGACAAACTTAATCATTAAAGTTTAATTTAGCACCTCAATTCATTTTTGAAAGATGAAAATAACAATTTTTAACGAGTGTTTTTGTAGTAGATACAGATGTTTTCCGACGAACTCCGTGACAGTTATCACAAGAACTCCTGAACAAGTTATCATAAGAACTCCATCCTTCGTGTAACACTTCCTCCCCCGTGAATGTATTTGACAAATGGTGTAATTTGAATGACAAAGCAGAAATGTAAGGTTAACTGTTGTGTCTCCCAGTCTGATTTAGTAAATAAACTGAAAATTCTAAGTTTAAGCCAAGAAAAATATAAAATAAAAGAGTTCTGTGGCTTTACTTATCTTAGGAACCTTGCTTAAATGTTTTTTGTTGTTTTTTTTCAAATCACAGTGTTCACACCAACTCTGTAATGGTCATGACTATGAAATTTTTTGTTTCAGGTACATGTGTACCATCAGGCAACTGGACCCTGGCTACAAATATCATAGCTGTATTGGTCTCTCATATGAAAGAAAACAAAATTCTTAGTAAACCCACAGCAGAGGGGGGTCCATACTCTCACTTCCTGAAAGTGTGGAAAGACCTTCATTAAGCATAGATACATTGTAGTATACCCACAGCAGAGGACATTAACTAAGCACAATTTCTGAATTTGATGTCAGCAAGCTCATTAATTTGCATTTACATACATGTAGCTCAACTTACTGTAATAGTTATATAAAGTTTTAAATAGTTACATGTAAACCAGGAAATAAAATAAAAGTGTGAAATATTCATAAACAGATTTGTCTTGGTTTTCTTGAAACCATAATTTTTATGATAAAGAATGAATAAGAAAATTTATTTTCCATGATTTCCTGGTGCTGAAGGATCAACCATTCATGGATCATGAAAAAATGGCATAATGTATTTTGTTAAAAGAATCTTTATTAAATGTGGTTATTGCAGGAAAATTTTGGTGAACCATACAATGCCACATACTTAAAATGATTTTTTTTTAAATTACAAACTACAATATATAAATTTTTTACTTGTTAAACACTTGTCAAATACATTTAAATGAACTTTACTTTGAAAAAAGTGTCCTTACATAATACAAAGCTGCTACAAATAAATTATGTTGAATAACCCAGCCCATCCACCCCCCAGAAATAAAATTAATATTCAAAATATATTATTTATATATTATTATATAATAAATCTAACTGTATTTATTTAACCAATACCTACTTTATTTTCATACCCCAGTAATGAATGTAGGAATGTTTATTTAAAACAGATTACATGTGGGGGATTTCCTAATCTATTTATTATCCTAGTTACAACATTATACACCTTGTGTTTACCAGCAACTTCAGACAGCCTGTGTATCAATGGCAGCTGTTTCTATGTTAATCTTGTATCAATCATACAATCACTATGAAACCATTTAACATTGTGTATCTGTAATTTCATGGCTTCTGACCTGAATCTGAATACACAACACTTTGGACAAGTGATCTTTCTTAAACATGTTCTTGAGTGCTAGGAAGAATTTTCATTGTGAGGAAAATACAAATTTCTTAATTTGAGGAAAAACTTATTTCATATTTAACATGAATTTTTTGTTACATGATATATACTTAAAAAACTTTTTGAATGTAAAAATTTATATATAATTACTATATATTCATGAAAATATAATGCTGTCTTGGAACAGTCTTCTTTTTGATTTTTTAATGCAAAAATAAATAAATATACATTGTATATAATATAATAAATCATATTCATCTGTCTTCTTTTTGATTAGCCCTAATCATCTATGTGCCATAAATTTACTATTTTCAAATTTTTGAAAGTTCTGTCAATTATTTATGTGTGGGATGCAAATATCAAGCTGTAGTTTAAGATCTCTGTGCTAATATATAGACAAAACCTAAAGATCACATAATACACAGTAAACTATACATTTATAAAATGTCATGAAAGATGGTGTTAGACCAATGGCCTAAGTAATGAAAGGTTTCTAAAGGCAATTAATTGCATCAAAACCCCATGGGCCTACATGATAAAGAGCTGTTGTCAGTATTCAAGAACAAACAAACTCCATATATTGATCTGTTCTAAGATCTGAGTAAAAAAAAAGTCAAACTTCAATGCATAATACTAGGGTAGATACAGGCAAAAAAGAACAAAATCCAAATTCATATCAACATGTATATACTTCAACTTATCAAAATACAACAAATTTAGGAAATTCAAACTTGTAACTCTTACTCATTTTATTCTATTTCATATTTCTTAATTAAGCTTGAAATTGATAGTGAAAGAAGTTCTTGAATCTTAAATATTAAACTAAACACTAACCATTTTTCCACCACATCGAATTACCGGCCAGTATTGTTGTACAAGAAATCTTTTTTACAGACCCAAACAGGGCTCAAAGCCTTCATCCTTGGGTTGACAGACAGACACTTATACCATTAAGACTTAAGCCAACACTCTTCCTTTCCCAAACCCCCAAGTTAAAATATCAAGTTTAGCCCTATACCTGCCAGAATAGAAAATGTTTAACCTTTCCCACCAGTAGAACCAGACCATGCTCCACATCCATGCAGTCTAATCAGGCTCTAATTCTGCCTGGTGACTTACTTTTAGTTTAAATTATCATCAGGATTTACCCAAAATTAATAATAGATAAGCTCATTTAATAAATTCAGCATGACAAATCAGTTAAGGGTTGATCAATGCTAATTTTACTTACTAGCTCTATACCCTGAGTGAATGGACATTGTGGCCAGTCCGTCTTGGGGAATCTCTGTAGGATTTTGCCGCAACTGGAACCTCCCCCTGAAAACAAAATATAATAACAAACATGTACTTTGTAATCTAAACATAGAGTTCATGCATGTATGTAAATGTTGAAAATAAAGTTTAAAAGAAAAGGAATAATAATAAATTAAAGAGATTCCTCAAAAGCAGTGAAAAACAAGAAGAAATAGATGATAGGGATTTGAACCCAAAGCAGTGAGGAACAAGTGGTTGACCATGGGCACTCTATGTGAGATGGTTGTCCAATGTATTTTAATTTTGAATTGAAATAGTTATTAGTAAAATAGCCTTGACAAATATTTTCCTGCTGACCTTGAGAAAATGTTCAGTGATTCACACTTAATATTAATATATATAATCCATTTCATTTTAATTTCCTTTTAACATTAAAGATTTAACATGTATTTTGTGGCTTAAATAGTTCCAATATTTGTTGTACATGTAAACAATTTATATTCAAACATCTAGACTCTTTAAATGCATGAGCTCAACCTTGACTTTATATGTGTGTATGCCGTATGTGTATATGTTAGCAAGTCAGCAATTCCATGCAGACTTACAATCATCACACACAACAGGGCCTGCACACAACTGAACAATACAGGTCAATTTAAGTTACATTTTTTAAATTAATATAATCTACCTAAAATTTCTCTTTTTTTTTGTTTGGTTGGAGTTTGAACACTGTTACAGACAGTCATAATGTATTATAATATACCATTCAAGCTTAACTTACTGGTAAACGAAAAAATCAAGATACAGCTCTGTCAGGGCTGTCATTGTGTATAATTGCGTCCTGTGATATTGATAAATCAACCATATATATATTCAACATTCAATAGATTCACAATTTAGAATAAAGATACATTTTGAAACCCACTTCTCCTACAATGTATCTAATGCAAATATCTCTCAATTTTTGTCTGATGAGATGTCACTTATGCAATTTTTCTACGCTAGATTGAACTATGAAATTAATTTTCAGACGTCAGTGATGCATAACAAGGAAACATAATTTCAATCTAGAGCAATGCTGCTTATGCAATGAAACTGGTACTTTTGTTAAAGTCCAAAATATTGTCTTTTTACCTCTTGACAGTAGATAAAGTCAACATTTCATTTTTAAGTCAAAAATAGGTTGATAATCAGAATCAATCATTTATTTTTACATTTGATATGCTTTATCTATTCTTTATTGATAATTGACATTTTCGAAAACCTTGGTAAATACTGTTTTCTGGTATGTTACCAATTTAGCTCTGGGGAATTATACCAAATGAAGTACACAATTACATGATATTTCTATTTTTCTATCACTAGTTCACCGTTTAAGGTGAAAAAATGATATGTTTGAAAATCATCAATATTCCTTTAATATATATTGCAAATTTTTCAAAAAAATAAATAGTTAATAATAAATATTTATAAAATTATAACTGTCGTGGTGGCATCTTCCATAATAAATAGAGATATTTTCTGCTTAAATTTGTGTATTTACTTTATTTTTTGTATGGAATTATTCATTGAATGATATTTAATTATTTTCTTACAAAGAAATAACTATTTTATTTCACTTTAATTAAAAATAGGCCAAAAACATAGAGTTTGTTGATACACTCCATTAGGTGAATTCCTCAGAGCTATGTACAGAAAGTACCGAAAATGGGCATTTAGCTAGGTTTTCAAATTCGTGAATTCAACAATTTTTTCAAAAAAAAAATCCCAAGTCAGTAGCATGTGTTCAAGACAATTCTAACTTCCTTCCGGAAGTTTTAAATAATAGTAAAAAGAACATTTTGACTTTGTGGCAGTTTTAGTAATAAAAAGTTTTGGTCAACATAAACAAATTTAAAAGATTACCAAATTAAAAAATATCTTCTTTCCTTCTACAGATTATTTCGTTTAACTTATTTATAATCAGTGCCATTAGGTTGATTACTTGTTCAAGTTGCTTTGGCTTGCCCGGCTATAGACTACACGTGTATATTTAAAAGAAAATCAAATAAAAAACAATTAAAAAAATATATAGAATTCTATACCTATTAATGAAATTTTCAGTGTCAGTTCTAGTCGGGCGCCGCCATTTACAATGAAACTCAATGATAATAGACGGGGTATTCCGATAACGGAACAAATCTCAACTTTTCGGATAAATGATAATCGTCGAGTGTTCCGAGTGAAAACGGAAGCGGTGCATGTAATACCTAATGACACCTTTAAAACGGAAAGAATGAAAGGAATTTTTAACGACTTCCCCGTTCATAGGCTTTGCTAGTCCAATATATTAGACATTACAGGCTTGTTATAGTTTTTGTCGGTCAAGCCTGACGTCTAATAGTTATTGCTCAAAAATGCATAGCATCATAAAAAATTCCAAAAATGTCTATTGTCCTGCCTTGCAAGCTTTATTCAAAAGATTATCATATTTTCTTTCAATTTCATGCTCAATCATACACAAAAACTGTCAAACGATGTACTTATCAATTTAAAATAAAATATAAACATCAATCTGTTTTTGTCTATCAGCCATACTGGTTAAACAAGGTGCTTTACAGATTGATTCCAAATTTTTGAACGGAAAAATATATTCAAACACACTGATGGTGCATGGGCAATTATTTCGTTAAAAAAATATTCCGTTAGATTGTTCTGACTCAGTTAAACGCTTGCATTTGAATTAGCCAATCAGATTTCGCGCACTTTACGGCCGCCATTTGTTTATCGGCTGTAAAAGGAATTGAAATACATGAGAGGATTTAATCATGATTTTTCAGATGTGACAGTTTAATTATTTTGACAAAAGGTATTTATTTTTTAGTTTTGTTCATAAAAAGGTCAAAAAATATGTAAATACACGCTGTCTTCATTGTTTTTCGTTCCGCCAGGGCTCATCCGGAAGAGCGCTTCAGGCGAAAACTTCGCCGTGTATATTCCAATTTCGCCTCTTCCGATTGATCAAAGAGAAGTCAACATCGCCGATAAAATCTTATTTCCCAAATAGTAATTACTTAGCGATGTAAAGAGCAGAGATTGTATTCGCCCATATGACGACCGCTAATTATCATTATCCAATCAGAGCGTCGCTTTGTACTACCCTTCACCTGTAAGCGAAGCGATAGACCGCCTACTCTAAACAATAAATAATGAGAGCATCGGCCCGAAACGGTTTAATTGTGTGATAGTTTTGCGAGTTTAATACGGGATTTGGCAATAATTTTGCATTGTTTTTTCCCCGATTATCTAAACACGTGCAATCTTCCCTTATTGATATACACGATGCACTTCGATGGTAGGTTTTTAACCCGAGTAAAGTCGATGTGCAATGGATTTTTCACGGCTATCACAAAACTGTTAGTCAATCAAAAATAATCAATTTCATTAATGATCAGCGACCGGATTAAAAACTTAATCATAGTTTTGAATGATTTCAGTCTGTTAATATCGTTTTTTACTGTAAAATTGTTATGTCGCTCACGCCATGGCTACAAGGCGAATGCCGAAACCGAGCAGTAAGAAAGTTACTGATTCTGATAGTTACACTCGAAAATTTAAGAAAGCCATGCAATTGGTATTTTGTAGACAGTGGGGGTGTTAGGCATTGTTCTCTTTGTAGAAATGCCAAATTTGACACAGTTTACGCACGTGGGCAAGACATCCCGGCTAAACTACATATCGGTTGTATATCATGTAACGTATATAACAACAAAATTTGTCAGGAAAGAAGTGTTCTTACTGTTTCAATATATATTTGTTTTAATGTCGTAAATATGACGCTCAGATTAAGAATTATCAATATTGTGAATTTTAAAAAGCATTATTTATAAAGATATTACCTAATTTTATATTTCATGAAAATAAAGGGAGGTAATTAGAAATTAATTTTCTACAATTTCTCAGTCAAATTTTTTATATAAGAAATGAATGTATGTAATTTTCGTATCAAATATAATGTGCACAAATGTTTGCAGTACATATTTTACATATTCTTTGATGTTTGAAAATTGTTTTATAAGCATAATTATATGCATATAAATATGACATTACAACTTTCTGGACTTTCAGCCAGCCAGCATAGCTCAATCGGTTAGAACGTGAGAATTGTAATCTCGACATTGTGGGTTCAATCTCCGAGATTGCCAACTAAAATTACTAAAACAGTCTTTCGGATGGGACTTAAAATCGAAGTCCGGTGTTTGAATAAATAAAGACTTGGCATGCTAAGAACCAGGAGAGGCTTCTGTAATTAGGGCACCTTTCTGTATCTTGCACTATCCCTGACAAATACTCTTCTGGAGGACTCGCCCATATGGGCAACCGGTGACGAGTATAAATAAACGCAAATACACACACACTCTGGACTTTCAAAGAAATTTCTGTTACCAGAACAGAATAGAACAAATATTATTAATCAATATCCAATGTGACATCATCTTCTATTAAAAGTGAGGAAAGTAAAAAATATGGAATTGATTTTATCATCATATTTTCTTACACATTATTATCAACAAATGTACATGAAAATATATAAACACATATTTAGAGAAAGCTTGTAAATAGCTGTTCAATAGATATCAAAAATAATTTTTTATATTCATATTTGCAGCTCAAAAACATTGAGATGCCATTGCCAGATCTACTACTAATTAATCTACTTTTAATTAATACTACTATTAATTAATAAACTGGAGAAATATTATAAGTGATGTTAATTGTGTTTATATTATAATTAAAGGATGTATAGCCATGCATGTTAATGCATACACATTGGGTTGTTTCCCTTCTCCCTAATTATCGCGAGGAAGTCACTTCTCCCTAAAATTTCCCCCCAGGATGAGCCCTGTCCGCCCGATTTTCTGGCGTAACATGCTATGGGTTTTTGAGCAATTTCGATATGACGTTGCTTTGCCCAGAAGCAAAAATATCTCAAAGCGACGTCATATTTATAGGACTAAGGCTTTGCCTAATATCATATTATTATAGTAAGTAATTTGTTGATTATGCTGAAATTCACCAGATTATTTAGCTTGACTAGTAAATTCCAACGAATCCGGGTCAGCTCGGCCCTAAAACGTACTCGGCCCCCGAGTCAGCTCGGCCCTATTCCAACTCGGCACGGGTCAACTCGGCCAACTTTTCAAGTAATAATATTTAGGTTTGTGTTATCACTATTTATTGTAATTATTGTAATTATTTATAATACATGGATTGACAGTTTCCGAACTAGCAGCAGACAGGCTTTCTTATCAGTAGAATAGTGAGTAAAGATAACCGATTTCGTATCTCACTGTATTTCTGACAAATACAAACAAAATGCATCTAAGGAAACACATTTTCATTAGATCTATACATTAATTTTATCGAATCTGCAAGACAAATAAATATATTTTTTTTCTAAATACACTTTATTTCCGTAGAAGTAGATCTACAATGTAAAATTATATAATAATAAGATATTTCTCATTATTCATTTACCTTAACAACATGCAAAGCAAAGTTAATACGTTATATATATTTTTGTAAAGTGCCAGTGGGCCGAGTTGACCCGTGCCGAGTTGACCCGTGCCGAGTTGGTATAGGGCCGAGTTGACTCTTTTCCAATTCCAACACCACATAAATTCAATTATTTGGAGTTATAAATTATTTAGGGGAAAAAATATAGCATAGATAAAAAAAATATAGAAATTAGATCTAGCAGACATCATAGATTTATTTTTATGGAGATAATTTGGACATTTCCTGCAAAAATCAAACACAAAACTAAGAATTATCTAGCCAGACAATGCATAGAAAAAATAAGAGGGAGTGTAGTTTTATTTCATATCTTTCTACAAAAAATATAAATTTTGTCTACTCTAAAATAATCTGACAGCTCCAAGCTCCATGTCAGTTTCCAACTGGTTGCACACTCTGGAAAAAATATCTTGACCTGGATGTATGCGTCGGGTTATTGAATATCTGTAAGGACGCATGACTTACTTTCTTTTTCATGATCAAATCCTACAATAACAAAATAGTCAGCCAGCCGCGACATCACAAATAAATCCAAAAGTTAAAGTAATTTTCGGCACTGTCTACGTCGTCGCCATTTTTATTTTTCGACGAGTGACTCATTAGCGAAATTGTCTCCCTTGTTTAGGAACTGGTAACTTTCCGCGAAAAGTCTCGTGTGAGTGCACAGGTAAACTAGTATTGAAATAATTATGTATGCACCCAGTGTTTATTTCATAGCAAAACACTACCTTAATTTTGTTTGTATATTATAGAAATCAATAATTTTAATGATTTATTTGAATGGCTTACAGACAACTCACCCCCCAGACAATTCACCCTAAGCCATTTTTTCCAGACAATTCACCCATCAGACAGTTCACCCCGCATTATTGGAAAAATGACACAGACAATTCACCCCTCATTTTCTTAAATTTAATTTTGATGAAATTCATCTTAAAATTAGATGTTTGCAATAAACAAATTTTGTTGTGTTTCTTTACTAAATTGATATTTATAAAATATTGAGTCATATTTAAATTAATTATTATAATTTATTACTTAAAAATAATATTTGTTACTATGTGTTAATATTTTTACATATTATTTACATACAAACCAGGGCCAAAACACCAAGTTTGGGGAAGGGGCCTTAGCCTTTTTCTTGGGGAAAAAAATGCGTGATTTGGGCATACTTTGGGTAAAGGGGTCTCAAATTTTACACAAACTTTTAACAAGTTCTTCAAAATAGACAAGCAAAATGCACTGGGAAATACAAATAAGGCAGTAAAAGACCTTAATTCAACACCATCATTTAATTTTTTCTAAATTCTATGGGAATTTTTTAAAGACTGGGGAATTTTGAGGATCAAACTGGGAAAAAAAGAGGCTAGTTTGGTTGGGGAAGCAGCCTATATTCGACCTCTACAAAGATAGCTTTTTAGGCTTGCAAACTGTAAAAATTACAAATATATGGACGAATTGTTAAGTGAAGTGATAACTAGTGATTAGATAGATTCCTGGCAGAGACATGTAATATTCCCAAACCCAAATGATACTAATCCCCATTATATGTGCTAATGACATGAAATGACAATCATGCAATATTTCCCAAACATCCCGATTATAGTTTATACTTAAATGACATAAAATTACATTTTGAAATCTTACAATATTCCCAAAAAGAAATGATAAAATGTACTTCTTCTTCATGATATTTTGTTGAAGTGACGATCAAGCAATGATAAAAAAGTGGATGTAGAATAGACAATATGTTTTTCAACACTTTAAGATAATGGATAATTAAACAGTTGTACATGTTTGCATCATATACAATAAAAATATCAAGACTCTTTGAAAAATGATAGATAATATGTCTATGAAAAATGCATACATTATAATAATTATGGGCATTTCCCTCAATATAAACTTGATTTGATTGAATAAAATTATTTTTTTTTTTGTTGTATACATCATGGTATATGTGCTTTTATACAGTTATATTTTGTAAATATGACATAATAAATAAATAAAAATAAATAAATAAATATCTTGACTTTCTTATTCTTTTTTAACCATAAACATGATTATCATTTATGAGGGGTGAATTGTCTTATCTATTTTGGGGGGTGAACTGTCTTGAGGGGTGAGTTGTCTTGCTTTTTTGGGGGGTGAATCGTCTGGGGGGTGAGTTGTCTTGTTACCATTTGAATCACCAGAAATTCAAATTCAAATTATACTTGTTGCATCATTGAAGTTTAACTTTAATCTAGCTCGTGGTATTTTAAATTATTTCTTATTACTTTTAGAAGAGTAATATTAATTTAATAAACAACTTCAAGCATTTTCTCAGTTTGATTTATCATTATTTGTAATCGCATTGTGACACTTCCTATTTAATTTTTGTGGAACTAATTGTACCGGCGTGGTGTGGTTGCAATGTGGGGCTTCATGGGCACCATGTCGCTGCATCACTTCATTTGCGTTTTGGTCGGGAACTTTCATTGTGCGGTTGCATTATGTTGCATTCTAGTCACTCATTTGTAAAGTCATTCATAAGTATCTCTAGTTTTATTTTTGTATCTATCATGCAACTTATTTTGTCTCAAGCTTTATGTACACATCTGTATTATTTTGTTAATGCTCATTTGTTTGTGAAATTTTACTGTTTATAAAACTGATGCCCATATGGGCCTAGTTGAAATAAAAAACTTGAAACTTGAAAATTAAATTATTTATCAGAAATACTACTCTCCCTTTGGGCCCAGTTTAAGCACACACTTGAGAGTGGTTTATTAAAACAATACCTACTAAAAGAGAAATCATCTCCATGCAGATCCACACATTGGATGTCAAAATTCATTAAGCAACTAGTCCACAAAAGAGACAAGTTCTTCAAAAATATTTGTTTAAAAATATTTTTTGAAAATATTGTAAATAAACTAGATCGGATTCAGTCTTTTTCATCGTCCGAGAACAGACAGTACTTGGTGACTGTTCGTCTGCAGTGCCTACTACATGTAACTCTTGTATGCCCTAAATGTTAATCATAGACCAACTGTTTCCTGCTCTACATCAATCGACTACCTTATTCTGTACTATAATTTCTTAAAAGTCCGACTATTTGCAGATGGCACTACTATGTACCAAAAACATCAACTCCTTCTGCAACTAAACTAAACAACATGGTACTCGGGGAGAAGTTGTGGGACATGAAGTTTGGTCCTTCGAAGTGAAGTGAGATGAAGACATTAATAGAAGGTTTTTGACCTATTTTCCTCATTTAATTCTTTTTACTTAAGCATCAGCATTATGTTGACAATAAATGTTTGTAAAAGTATGTGATACTACCGAACACACGTGCACATTTTAAGGGATTGTCCAAATCGATCTTGAAACATTCTTTATTGTGAGTCTAACACTAAAAAAGTGGTTATTCCTAAAAACAACAACAGACAACAATTAACTCAACTAAGAGTCGCAAGTGAACAAAATCTGTTTCATTTACTGATATACATATATATAATGGTATCTGGATATCAATTGCAAAAAACACGTATCCATCGAGAGCGATGACAACAAAAATGAAATGGTTATAAATTGAAGATTCAATTTATGTTAATGAGACATAATTTGAAGTGGAACATCTCTCACGCACCTTTGTCCCGTTTGAAGAGGTACTATATCCTTAATGCACTCATCGCTATAAGTTGTACACTAAGAAGACGTAAAAGGGAATAGAAGCACGTACGTACAGGTATTTGTCTTCTTGACTGACGTTCAAATCGACACGCTTACATCAATCGATAAACAATGATACGAAAAAGTGGTTGATATGACTTTAATGAAAGTCTTGTATTAAAATACGTACTTCTTGGATGGTAATGAAATATTTACTATCTGGCAGGAACTTAATTATCTTTCTAAATAAAACTTCAAAATTTTGTCTCTTCAAAGTCATTAATCTAAAAAAATGTGGTTTACATTAATCAATAATTTCAATTGAATCTCTTTGTCTCAAAGACTTGAATATTTGACCCTCTTATCAGAAAGAAAAAAAGGCGCCCCGTTTTATGTTTGAAATTAATTAAATTATTAGAATTAGACACGCATCTTATAAGAAGTAATTAATGTTCTTTCAGGAAAACGAGTGTTAATTTTTCAGATTCTGAGTTAGAAAAATTGCAACGGATATAATTTTTTCTGACAGTGAAATTCAAATTTATCACGATCAGCGTTAAAGGGTGAAAAGTATGAATGTCAGAATGTCACTAGCACATATGCCTTGTGTGGACGGAGGGTGTACGAGTGCATAGTATTACACAGGGAGTGCAGCTTAAAAGTTACAGCAGTTTATAAAATTCTTAGTTTGTAAACATTGCTTTAAATTGTTGTGCATTTATTAAGGCATAACAGGCTTACGCCAACAGTTTATCTGACCAGGCACACTTTACTACCGAAATTGCTGCAGGTTATTTACTGGCCATACTTAATCCCACAGTTGCCCTCATGAATCGCCAGGGAGTCTGACATTACGTAAAACTGTCGTCACACAAGACTAAATTGTGTGCAACATTCTTGTTTCTACCATGTTCAAATTATGGCTAGATGGGTATTATTCTAAGGATGGCTTCCTAGGCTGTATTGAGGAATTTGTTTTAAGTATCATATAAGAACTGTTAACAGTTCATTTAATGACATTCATTAGATTTATTGCATAAACCTTATTTTTTCAAATTCATTTTTGATTAAAACAATCATTTACATGAACATATACAAACCATTAGTATATATCGTAAAAAGGATATTTTAGATATTTTTAAGTGTATTATTTAAAAAGATGCATAAAGTTTTCTTCAAACTTTAGAAATTCAACACTGTTTTTTCTTAATCAAATTAAAGAAACGCAACAACAACCCAAAACAACCCTTTATAAAATCGTTAGCTGTCATAATCAATAGATCGCTTTCAATCCCCTTTTACATCTTCCCAGGTTGAAACTAAAAAAAAAATCTTTTGCTATTTTTTAGTATTTTATTTTTTAATACAAAATCTACACAAAATGTCGATTTTTAAACAAAATTATAGGGGAGATCCACAGACTTTTACCGAAAACAAATAAATCTAGTAAAAACCCGGTAATATTTCTATAGAATTCACGTTTAGGGACTTATTGTAATGAAAATATTTAGTAATAGAGGAAACAGAACCTGCAAAAAGCCCTCTTATCCCGGGCAAATTTTGGAGAATTGTTTTGTTCATGGACCGATAGTCCGTTGATTGCAGGCTACGTCCACGTCCCCAGCACTGGCTTTTAAGCAAAATTCAACATTTAAGAACTTGTAAAATTTGAATTTTGAAACATCGCTGATGTGTTTATCGGCGGTAATCATGGAACCCCAATGTGGCAAGTAAGTCCATTTTCGTGAGAAGGGCATATGGTCCCAAAAAAAATGCGTTTGCCCTCTTGAGGAAACAATGGCTGAAACTTAACACTATGAAATTTTGAAAGGGGATGCGACTGATCACAGATAAGCTGTCAAAAGACAAAATCAAAAAGCAGGCAGCATATCCTCAGGGTGGTTAAAAAGTTTTCAAGTGAGGAATACTGGAACCACCCGACTAAAAAACGCTGAAATAGGAAAAAAAGTACCAAAAAACATGCACGCACAACAATTATTTCTTGCCGAACGATCTTTATGGAACAGAATTACTGCATGTATTCCTTGCTTGGTGATATTGGAACATACATTATGCTTGCTTCCATACTTCATTGTGACAATGGAAACCTACCTTTTGCTGATAACATCATGCATAATGATTACTGAATGCACACTCAAATAATTGTAACTTCATGTGTTCCTTTCTGAATCATCTAACTGACATACGTATTTTAATATGCTGTATGTTTAATTGCTACAAAGGAACCCTTCTTTTCCTAGAGTGATGAGAGCGATGGCATACAAATCACAGTTTGCCCAACTCTAAAATACATCGAACATCACGATCATAGGACTTGGCTAAAGCCCAGGGCACCTCACCCCAGACCCAAAGGTGGAGACCTTCAAGACGCGACTGGAAAATAGAGAAAAACAGAATCCCTAAAGAAAGTCCAACACAACACAATTGAAAATGTTGCAGGCTCGGTTTGATTGAGCCTGTTCATGGACAGTACTGGAAAGTGCAAGTTACCGTCCACGCCCCCTAGCACCGGCTTAAGCAGAATTCAACATTTAACACGGAAATGGTGAAATTTTGAATTTAGAAACATCCGCAGATGTGTTCATACGGCGGTTATCATGGAACCTTCAATGTGGCACAGTAGTGCCATTCCATGAAAAGCGGCGTATGGTCCCCAAGTAAAAGAATGCTTTTGCCCTAAACGAGAAAATAATGGGTGGAACTAAATAAAATGGAATTTTGAAAGGGGATCTGAGGTTATGAAGCCTGCATATCACAGATAACACGTCAAAAGACAAATTTAAAAACAGGCAACATATCCTAAGTCGTGATTATGCAAGTATTCAAGTAGGAAATACTGGAACACCCAAGTTGAAAAATGGCCAAATAGAAGAAATTAAAAGTACCACATAACATGTATACACAACAATAATGTCGTGCTGAACGATCTTCAAGGATCGAAAATATAACATCATTAATTAAATGTACGGGGAGACTTTTTTCAGCCGCCACACGGCACAAATAACACGGATGTGACAATAAAATAGAGAAAAACAGAATCCCTAAAATTTATAAAGTTTAAACGTACATCATTTTGCGTGTATTTAACACATCTTTGTACCATAATGCTCCAGAGTGAGCCCAGTACAATATAAGAAGTGAACTTGTCGAGGAAATAATTTTTTGAATTCGGTTAATGGTTCTTTTCGCTTAACAGAAATATTTTCGGTGTTAAATAATTGTTCGCACGAATGCAAACCGGAACTGATTGAAATGTCAAATGGCACAAAATTTGAAAATAATTTTTAAATGTTTTTATGAATCGTCAATTTAATTAGATTTTTAGGGAAAATTTGACGTAGCTTTATGTGAGTTTGACATGTTTGTAACATTTTCGTTTAAAAGTAGTTGTGTCATGCGACAAGAATAGATTAAAACATATTCATAATAGCCACAAGATAAATTATCAGCTTTTTACACAAGAAAGCAAATTAATAATGAATTTATAATTTGTATATATTTTTTTTATAATATTTCACATTAGTGTAAGGTAACCAAGGAATTTCTATATATAGAATAATATGAAATTAGATGCTACCTATGACGCGGATAGTCTAGTCCTATAAGATAAGACGTTTCCGTGAGTTATGTACACCTGTAAGTAGCCTGGGATTCAGGCGTTGATATTTTTTGCTTATTCATAACATACGCTCTATTTCAATCTCAATTGTCATAGATAACACAACATCTCTGGTTTTGATAGTATCAAAGATTTCAATATGTAGGCCTAATTTGTTGGTCACGTGCTTAGTTACACTAAGTAATATGAAATATTATAAAAAACCCTGCAGGTTTCCCATGTAATTATCGACTAATGATAATCCTATTAATAGACCGATTAGCACGTGACCAACAAATTACATTTCGAAATCGAGGCGAAATGATGAATGTTGAAAATTTGACACCATTTGCTATTAAAAATTGCATCCAGCACAATTATCTGATGCTCACAAACTTTATCCACTTTAACTAATCAAACCTGTTGATTAAATTCACTGATCATGCAATTCACGAATTCGAAAACCTAGCTAAACGCCGTTTTCTGGTACTTTCTGTACATATCTCTGGGGAATTCACTTAATGGAGTGTAATAGCTAACCCGATGTTTTCGGTCTTTTTTTAAATTAAATTGAAATAAAACAGTTATTTCTTTATAAGAAGTAATTAAATATCATTGTTTGAATAATTCCATACAAAAAATAAAGTAAATACACAAGTATACGCAGAAAATAACCTTATTTATTATGGAAGATTCCACTATGTCTGTAAAAATTTAATTTTATTGATTTTCATTATAAACAATTTACTTTTTTGAAAAATTTGCAATAGATATTAAAGGAATATTGATAATTTTCAAGTACATCAACTTTTTTTCACCTTAAACCAGAGCAACAGATAAGGTGCGTATTTGCGAAGTTACACAATTAATTTTATAAAATACGCAATTGATTTTTTTAGAGTGCGTATCAAAACCCATTTAAATAAATAAAATACCAATTGTCTTCAAAACCCACGCTTATTGTCATTTTCATCACTGCAAAATACGCTGGTAGTTTTGGACAAATTATATGAATATGCAACCTATCCGAATATCTCCAAATCAAATGCTAACTAATTGACGGTCTCCAGTCTTCGACAGTCCCCGGTTTCCAAAGACCGGCGATGCCATATCAATAAAGCAAGAGACATTCCGGCGATCATGTAAATAATAATAATAAAAAACATAATCTGAAAATATTAAAACTAGAAATTTTCTGGAACCAAACAGTATGTTTGTTTCAGAAGTAAACTTAATAAACCATGGGCTGAAAAGTAGACACTTTACTAATTTTTTTTGTCTTTGACCAGGTATTTAAAGGAAATGAACACGGAATCATGAACACATTAAGAGCATAATTGCACTTAGGATATTTTTATTTGAAAAAGATAAATAGAGTCTAGTAAAATACTTACCGTATTGTTTCCATTTGTCGCCCCCGGGGCGTTGCAAAAACGGAAACGGGGGGCGTTAATTGGAAGCACATTTGCATAAAATGAAAATTAATTTTATGATTAAAAATATCTAAAAATCTCCCAACTATTTTCGTCCTATAAACCCCTTGTTCACGTACGATAAATAAGCAGCACAAAATTATTGTAGACAATACGGTAGTCCGCTGACCGAGATAAACTTTGTCAAGTATTGATTTTTCCTGCTCTGGCGGGAAATTATGAAATTATGACGTAACACACATCAGTTTACCTGTGTGTAAAACACTTGATTTAATGATTTAATCAATACACAATGGAAGGTTGCACTTCTAAGAAAACGTACATGAATGCATTCAAACTGGAAGTTGAATGTTACTTGGAAGTTACAACAGTTAGTTTTTTTCTGTTTATTTTTTTAAATACACTTCGGATATTAAAATTTTCAAGTCCGGTAAGAATTTTTTTTTCATTTTTCACCCAGGGGGCGCTAATTAGAAGGGGGCTATTAATAGAAACAATACGGTAGTACAAAATATGATGGATTATTTATCAGTTAAAAAAATACTTAGTACAAAATATGATGGATTATTTATCAGTTAAAACTGGTAGATTTACAAAACTGTTATAAAATGACATACTTGTATTTATTAAATACCCTATTCCAGAGGAAATGATGGAGTTATACCCAATTCACTTTCAAAGCTTATCTGTTGCTCTGTTAAACGGTAAAATAATGATAGAAATATCATGTAACTGTGTTATGTACTTCATTTGGTGTAATTCCCCAGAGCTAAATTTGTAACGTAACGGAAAACGGTGTTTAGCTAGGTTTTCGAAAAGGTCAATAAACTTTGTCAACAAGTGTTAGTTTTTAATCGGAAATGGTGTTTTGAAAGTGAGGCTCCGTAACTGTTCGTTGAGCTTCTGATCACTTAGTGGAAATTCCGTTCCTATTTTTAGAAACTAGTTTGTTGTTGCATGAGTTATCGTTTTTTAAATAACACCCGTAATTTTTGGGGTGAATACTTGGTGGCACTTCAATCGAAAATTGTAATTTGTATTTCCCCAGGCTGTTGATTTGCCGAACAGAAGCACATAAAAAAACGACAGACTGGTACCCGGCTAACCTGTATGTAGTACTAACGGAAACGTTTTATGTTATAGGACTAGCGGATAGTCCAACTAATTGTACTGCGCGACAAGATATAGTGCTATTTTTGTGTCTGGGCAATATCTCGCCTGCTGTTACAAGTTCAAACTGCTATGAAACTATGAAAAATGCTTCAATACTGATTAAACTTGGCACAAATGTTGACTGGAACATAGCCTCTGTAACAGCATGCTCAATCTTAAATTTCCTGTAACATTGGCAACGGGGGCACATATCAAAATTGCCAAAAATCACTTTTTTGCATTGTTTTTTTTCCCATCAAAACTGATTTCAATGGGCTGCAACTTCTCAATAGATTGAGATAGAGTCAAAGGCTTTTCAGCGTTGGTTACATGTTACCTTACGATTTTTTTGGGGATTTAATATTTTGTATTATTCTGTCGCTATTGAAACCATAATGTTCAACTGTTTATAAAATTGTATTTCTTGTTTAATCTCTTCATTGAATATTCATTTCAGTATTATCCTGAAGCCATATTTGTGTTTACTGAAGAATATAAACTAACCTAGTGTTACGAATAAAATTGAGACAGTCAGTTGCAGCAACCTGAAGACAGAGATTGTAGATGATCCACATTTATATGAATTTGAAACATCATACTGTCTAAGATTTTCCTCAGATTCTCAAAATGTTAACCACTAGGACCAGGTTAAAAGGTAAACACCATTGTCTTATTTTTCAGTTAAATTTAGAATTTATTTTCTTCATATGAACTTATTTCTAATGTTTTATTTGCCCACTTTTATTTCACTTGGACATTGTAAAGGTCATAATGATATAATGACTTTAGCTGTACTGACAGAGGGAGAACACAAGTGTCCCCTGTATTCAGTCACGAGCAGGCAACTGCGTAGAACCATCTACTTCTTTTAAGTAATTTAGCTCTTGCACATCCGTGAATTTTGTAGTCCATGGCAGGATCATATCCACTTAGTTGAGGGACATGTGATTCAAATTCAGTGATATAATACCCCTTGCTCACAAAGGCCCCAAATTTTATGCTACTTTCCTTCAGTGTTGTATACATTAGGTTGTGCAAAATCACATATAATTTTAAAATTCTTTGCTCTTTGTTACAGAGTTTCAGATAAAACATATAAATGATAAAACTAACTAATAGTCACACATCATGAGGCATTTTTTAATTTCATGTTTTGTTTATAGTGGGTAAGGTTATATATTGGGATTTGTTATTTTCCCCATAAGTACATGTAGTAGCTGATTTCACTACATGGGGGAAATTTCCAAAGTTGCTGGACTATTGCACACAGTCATGGGAAAAAACACTGGTCACATAAACTAAATATAAATGGATCATTTTATAAAAATTCATTTATTGTTATACAAATAAATATTATATTATTTTTAGAGGTAATAACTAATAAACGCTATATTTCAGTATTATCAGAGATAGCAGAAGAAAGAGAAGACTCTTTTGCGTCGGATAGTAATCCTGGGACACCAATACATGTTGTCAGGGCAGATAGTGTAGGAAATGATGAAGAAAGGAGGGAAAAACGCAGAAAGAGAATAACTGAGGAGCTGTTTGAAACAGAGAAAACCTACATACACCATCTAGAATTAGCTTATAAGGTATATAATGCAAAGAATTAGATGTAAAAAATCAGATTCAAGTACTGCTTACTGGTATTCCTGTTCATGTTCAATGTTAAATATTTTTAAGAATTTTCTTTTACATTCAGCAACTTCATTGTACACCTTAACTCAACAGTAACATTTGAAGGTGTGGTAACATTATATATATCATTGTAATTCATTGATAATCTGGATGTATTGTAATTTTTAAGTTGGATATTGTTGATTCTTGAACTTTTTATGTAGAAAGTGGAACGTTGTTCAAGCCAATGCTAGGGACAGACTTGGAGAGACATTACACTTTTTACTGTCCTCGACAGTCTCACAGAAACTGATTCTGCAATTAATTTGTTTTTATTGCTTTTATATGTTCTTCTTTTTCACAGGGTCTTTATATTAAATAATTTGATTACACATAGTTTGATGATTTTGTAATGAAATTTCTTGCAAAGAAAGTATGAGACACTTTTACAGACTTTCTCTTTGTTGTTTAAAATGGAATCCTTAAGATATTTAGTATATTTTTCTTCCAGTTCTTTGAATTTCCACTGAGATTTAACTGTTTGATATCAGAGAGGGCACATTCACAGCTCTTCAGTAACCTGGAGCAGATTAAAGAAGTGAATACGAAGCTCCTAGAGTACATGGAGCAAACAACTGTAGGAACAGCATTCAAATTTCTTGGTCCTTTCTTGAAGTTGTATTCAATGTATGCAAATAATCATCAACAAGCCATATCAACATTGCAGGTAATTTACCATGTACATTTACATTGTATGAAGTATTTCACTAACACTGTCTGAAAACATGTGTAAGGTGAATGAGCAGCTTATCATTGTTAATGTATTTGTTTGTTCCTTGAAAAAAATATGATCAAAGATATTTAATTTAGAGGAAAATCTATTACTATCAGTATCTATAATCTGTCAGTTAATTATTACTATTACAATTTGAAATAATGTTTGTTGAATCTGTATATAGTAACTTAATTTGTACACTGTACAGTACATCTCAACTCCACTCTTCTAAGTTAGATTTTATGCAGCATTGCATATTATTGTCACCTTAGTGCAGTAACATGTTAACTTCAATAAAGTAAATAAGGGGTTAACCCATTATTGCACTAAGATGTGTGATAAATGATTAAAGTAAAACATTCCTAGTCTGTGTAATAACTAGAAAAGCTCAAGAAAATACCCATTTTAAAGGTTTTTGAATGATTTGCTTTCTGTTACTTATAACATTTACAGTGATGAAGTCAGTCCCATGAAAATCAGTGGGAAAATATTGTCAGTTTGAATTGTGACTATTGACTCGCACCACACAATTGGTGAAAGGTTACTAATTTGTCTGTTGTTAATCGTTAAGGTTAGTATTTGAAATTATAATGGTAAATGTTGTTACTTTGTCTCTGCATTATGACTTTATTTGTTCACAGGAAAGTTTGAAGGATGAAAAGTTTGCTGAGTTTATCAGGGATCAGGAAGACAGACCAGAAGTTATGGGGTTAAAAGTAGGAGCTCTGTTGATAACACCTGTACAAAGAATACCTAGGTAAATCTATTTACAATGCGGGTCTTTTAATTCCGGTCTAATTTGCTGGTGTACGTCCATTGTCCTGAAAAATTCCTACTAGCAATTACTTAAGTATACATTACTTTCTTGTTAAACCTACCTTGCTTGTTTTAAGTTTCATATATATATATAATAGCCTCAACAATAGCGCTACATCTAGTAAGTAGATAAAATTCACATAAAATGGGGCTATCTTATGTGTTTCTTTATGTGGAAGTTGTATTGGAATATAATTGATGTCATGAGAGTCTGACAGGCGTAGCTTGGTTTTAATTCATGTAAATGCCTAAAATATGGGGATTGTGGTGTATGCACACACAAGAATTTATTTTGGTCTGTAAATACAAAGCCGACAGAAAGCTGGCTGAAGAGCCTAGTGTGATTTGATATAGTTAAATTCATGCAAGCCAAACTTAAGTACAGATATAGGTTCTGTATAGTCAACCATTCTGTAATGACATCACATCACATCAGCAATGTCATAATGGGTCAGATTCATATACTGTCAATTTATACAATGCCAGTTTTCTTTATTTCTGGTCATGTTTATGGATGGTATGCAATCATTCTATAATGCAAAAAATGTGTGTATTTTTATAACAGAGTAAATATTCCATGTTTTATAGGTATAAGCTGCTGTTAGAAGACCTTTTAGAAAATACAAACCAGGAGCACCATGATTATACCATGTTAAAAGGTAATTTAACAACTTTGTCAACAGGAAATTTCTTTTGCTAGCTGATTTTATTGCTATGGTAATGCATAAAAATTCTATTACAAGATGTAAGAATTGGTATACATCTTTTGTTTGTTTGTTTCACATTACGCACAAAATTTCTGTTTTTGTTTTAAATTCTTTGTTGCCAGTTCAACTGCTGTTTTCACTAATATTAATAATATTTATTTTGCCATCTGGTTTTATTGATGTACTGTACATGAAATTTCTATTGCCAAATGTTATTATCATATACATGATTTGTGTCTCCAGCAAGTTTTATGGTACACATTAAATTTCTCTTACCAGTTGATTTCCATTATGTGCATTTTTGTACATAGAATATTTCTGTTGCCAGCTGTTTGTTGCTTTACATAAAACCATAAAATTTGTTCAAAATTTTGTAAGAAATGTAAAAGCAACTTTTGTCAACTTGAATATACAATTATGTGCTAGGGAAATATGACTTGAGACATAATATAAAGATTTTTAGAGACAAGCAACTGGAGATAAGTGCTGCTTTATCTTTTTGTTCAACGAGACAGATGTCTTGCCATTTTGTCATGTTGATCGTTTTAAAATGATGTCTTTTTTGTCTGTAGTGAACAATGTAAATCAGAGAAATACAAGCCAAGTGGCATAAGATTTTAGCATTGCATTTGTGGTTTTTTTTAATGGTCTTAACATAATGTTATGAACATTGGTCAATGTAAAATTTAATAAAAAAAAAAAACATCATTGATGTATGATTTAAACAGTACACTTATTGATCATTGAGCTGTCTAACGAATGCCAACATAAGACTGTTTATCTAGCCAGAAGTTGCTTGACCCTTTACATTTTGTCCCAGATATATAATAATACAAACTTTCAATTACTTGATTTACAGAGGCAGCAAAGCAGGTTGGAGAGATAGCTAGGCACATCAATGAACATGTTAGACAGAATGAAAACTTTCAGAAAATGTTGTCCATACATAACAGCTTTGATAACTCAGCACCAAAAATACTCGCTCCTGGACGCGTCTTCATCAAGGAGGGCAAACTTAACAAGGTAGTTTTGGTGTAGATCTATAAGCGTTATAAGTTATATCTGATGTGATAAACACATGGGTGTAAGTTTTCCGGCATGTGCCGGAAGTTCCGGTTTTTCACGTGCCGGAGGGATCATTTTTGCAAATCACGAAAATCCGTTGAGATATTTGGAGGGGTATTGTGCGGGTCTACTCTTTCAACCTGAGAAGTACCACCGATCAGAAGTTCATAATCGAGAATGCTATATAACAAACAGACGCTTACGGTTGTTCTCGAAGCGTCAAAAGTAAACTTTCGCGGAAACTGCCGATAAATTCCGAAGATATACGAGATGTTTACGAAAACATGTATTATAAATCCCGGCATGCAATTTTATCCGTGAATTTATTACAACGATTTAGATTGGCGCGCTTATTATAATCATCCAATGAAAAAGCAGCTTTGTTATCGATTTGGCAATAGAGTAATATGTAAACAGAAAGTGATAGTCAAAATGAAGTTTCTACACGAAGGATTTAATACAAAAGATATCGAGAAGACCACAAAAAATAAATGGAGATGGGAATGGTTGTCTGAATGTGATCGAAACGGGGATGACTACGGAAACTGGCTGAAAAAGCCAGACGTTCCCGGCGTAGCTTTCTGCACTGTATATGTATATGTAGAAAAACTATCAAGTATGGATCCAGCGAAAAAAAAAAAGAATTAAAAGGCATGAAGACAATCCAAATCATTATTATATAGTAGCCATTGGAGACTTAAAATTGAATGTGTTGTTTTATTCATATTCATTATCAAATGTCACTATGTTTGATTTTGTGTGCATGCTTTCTTTGTAGAAAGTTAATGTCTTCAGGTTTGGAATGACTTTGATGGTTAAGCTTAAATATTTTTGTTAGTAGATAATACATGTAGTCACTCAGCCTATTTTTTTTTTGTATATTCTTCATCCTTTACTAAGTTGTATTTTATTTATTTAATTTCATTTTTTTTTACAAGATGGGAAATAAAGTTGTACTTTATAATTTTTCTTTGTGTCATCATCATGTCAGCTATAAGAATAAACTTATATAGATCTACTTCTGATATTCAGGGAATTGCATTTTAGGCCTTCAAATGTGCTATTATGCAGGAGCTTCCAGGGGCCTCCGGCCCCCTGGACACCTGGCCGGCCATTGCCCTGGACCCACTGCCCCCAACAAAAAGTTCAGGTTTTTCAAAATTTTTAACTTGCACCCATGTATACAATAACTCTGAAATCTATATATGTATTGTGCAATGGTATTGCTTTAAAATTTATGGGGTCATAATTGAAGAGAAAGATTTATATACAAATTATACAAAAACAGAATTAAAGTTTCCTTTACAAAATAGTGAAAATACACATGTATGTTGTACTTTTGTTCCAAACTTTGTTTCTTTTAGAAATCTGTTTATGTATCTTATGTCTTGCAGCAGTATTAATTTGATTTCTATTCCAGGACACCATTTACATGTACCCATATTTTATTTAACATTATGCATTTATTCAATTCTGTTACTGTATCTCATATCTTTAAGCCACTGAGAACTTCTACAAAAACTCATAAGCATGTTTATTTGCAAAACTATTAGATTCATTTTGATATCTTTGTTTAAGATATATAAACAAACATTTTATGCATATAGTATCCAAAGAGTAAAATCATTTCTGTGTTGTATATTATACAGATATCGAGACGAGGGAAGTCTCAGGAACGTATGTTTTTCCTGTTTTCTGATATGATTATCTATGGCAAACCAAAGTTGTTAGACAGTGGTAACAACTCCTACTCATGTTGCTGTGTACTGCCACTCCGGCACTGTCAAGTGGAGAAAGTACTAGGAACCGTACAACGCTCAGATGGAGGTGGCATGTTCAGGGTAGATAACACTTTGATAATTTTGAAGATCGATATTACTTTATGCTCTAAGAAAAAATGTCATTATGTCATCATAATTATACTTCTGTATGAAGGTTAAGATTTGGTTTGGTGCTTTTAAACATATGCTTGAATAATGAAAATTTTATTTCAAAATGTAAAAACCTTTTTCACTGTCTTATGTATTATTTCTGTAAAGAAGAAAAGCTATGAAAAGATAAAGGGAAAAAATAGGCATTTTTTACTTAACAAATTTAATGCCAACTTGTTTGCCTTCTAGAGTGACTCATTAAGGGTAGTTACTGTTCCAGGGAGAAAAATCCCGGTAGCATGGTAGCATTTGTTTAATATATGATAAGTTTTAATATTAAAAGTTTATAAGTTTTTATAGATTTGAATACTAGATGTAAAGTGAATACTTCATTATGTTCCATTATGTTATCATAGATCAACTGTAAAGAGGAGAGTTTGTTATTGTACTGTAATGATCCAGATGAGGCCCAGTCCTGGGTAGAAGATATTGATTCTGCAACGAGGTTAGTCTCCAGGGGTTTTAATTGTTTTCAGATTAGCCTTAATATGTATATGATACAAGGTTTCTGTTTTTCTTTAAACATTTCTGTAGTGTTATGATTATACACGCATACCTGATTACATAGATATATGCATAATAACCTTTGAAATGACCTGTCTGTGACAAATAAAATATAACAAATTAAACATGAACATTCATTTTGTGTATTGTTGCAGAAAATTGAATGTGAATAGGCAGACCTTGAGGAAGCCCAGCAGTCAAAATGTCCCAGTGAGGGGAAAGTCTTTACTCAAAATGAGATTGAGGGAGAGAAAACAAGATTTAAAGGTATTATTTATTAGCTCGACTATTCGAAGAATATGAGAGCTATTGTAGTCGCCCCGGCGTCGGCGTCAGCGTCCGCGTCGGCGTCTGCGTTGGTTAAAGTTTTTTGTAAAGTCAAATATCTCAATTATTACTTGAGATATTCAATTGAAACTTACAATACTTATTTATAGTAACAAGGTACATCATATTGACAAGTTGGATAACTCTGCCTACAATATTGACAGAATTATGCCCCTTTTTAACTTAGAAATTTTGGTTAAAGTTTTTTGTAAAGTCTAATATCTCAATTATTGCTTGAGATATTCAATTGAAACTTACAATACTTATTTATAGTAACAAGGTACATCAGATTGACAAGTTGGATAACACTGCCTACAATATTGACAGAATTATGCCCCTTTTTAACTTAGAAATTTTGGTTAAAGTTTTTTGTAAAGTCAAATATCTCAATTATTGCTTGAGATATTCAATTGAAACTTACAATACTTATTTATAGTAACAAGGTACATCAGATTGACAAGTTGGATAACTCTGCCTACAATATTGACAGAATTATGCCCCTTTGGAACTTAGAAATTTTGGTTAAAGTTTTTTTGTAAAGTCAAATATCTCAATTATTGCTTGAGATATTCAATTGAAATATAAAATACTTTTTTATAGTAGCAATGTACACCAGTTTGCAAAATTGCATAACTCTGCCTGCAATATTTGCAGAATTATTTGCCCCTTTGAAACTTAGAAATTTTGGTTAAAGGTTAAAGGTCTTCAAAGATATTTACTTGAAACTTTACACATGCACTTAGGGTCATAATTGGAGGGTCATAATTGTATGTCACTGACCAAATTCCATAACTCTATCTTGCATTAAGGCTGATTCATATCCCCTTTTCTACTTAGTCTCTTGGTTAATGTTTACATGCAAGTTTTACATATCTCAATATAAACTATTAAAGATATTTATTTAAAACTTCACATCTGCATTTAGGGTCATAATTGTGGGTCACTGACAAAGATCCATAATTCTATCTTGCATTTAGGCTGATTTTTCTCCCCTTTTTCAACTTCATTGTAAAGTTTTGCTTGTAAGCTGTTATCTCAATAACTACTGAAGGGTTTGTGCCGTTTTTGGGACAATTTTATGCATTTATAATAATAAAGCAGTGATTTACTTGATAAAACATCTTAATAACAAGCCTTTGTACCTTTTCTGTCAAATTTATGTATTCATAGGTAATTAGTATTATTATACTCAATAAAACACCCTTGTGACATTACCTTCCAAATAGTCGAGCCAATACTGTATAATTAGACTCTCTCTAAGGCCTATAACATGAATTTATAAAAAAAATTAGCCCTTTTGTGAACTTAAAAAATTTAACATTATCAAGGCTCTTTTACTATCAAGCACTTAGAATAGTCGAGCGTGCTGTCCTACCGACAGCTCTTGTTATTACATATAATCTATATTTAAAAAAAAAAGATCATGATTGTCATAAGTATTTATTTTCATGTCCATGTTATATATGACATATATATATTCATTGCATTGAAGTGGGAGAAATGAAATAACATTGTTAAGTGTCTTTACACTACTTTTCCATTCAACAAAAGTTAGCTTTCTGATAAGAGAGAAAAAAAGTTTACTTTTGATAAGAGAAAAAAAAAGTTAGCCTTTTGATAAGAGAAAAAAACACAGAAGTTAGCCTTTTGATTAGAGAAAAGAAAAACAAAAGTTAGCCTTTTGATAAGAGAGAAAATTATTCATAAATGATGAATGGATGAGAAGATTTAATGGATAAAAGAAAGTGATACTAATTATTTATCAACATACATATTGCTGAATTTGTAAACTGGACTTACCTTGCCATCTATTTTTTAACACTTCACTTAGTTATTTTTTGATGTAACAGGAATAGAATTTTTTTTTAAATTATTTATTTGTACTATTTGATGAATGTATTGATCTTTGTGGAATATTTCAGACCATCAGCTCACACTGTTTTCTTAGTATAATAATGTGCAAAAAGACCTAACAGTCTTGAAACACTTTAACTCAAATATGGCTTACAGTCACAGTAAATATTGATATTTAAGTAAACTCTTGAGTGTTTTGCTTTATCATTATTATATTTTCTGTTTTAAGTGCCCCAGTTTATCTGTGTAAGTTTTAGATCTCATTGGAGCTACTTTTCAGTATAAAAAATTAAGCTATCAGAAGTATCGTGTCTGGTATAACTGATGTTAAAAAATTTTACAGCGAAAACTCAACCCAAAGAGGAAGGCATCTAAAGATGAGAGACAACCTATGAAAGCTTTAGTTGAGAATTGCCTTACACCTCCAAAACGTCAGAGGATTGATGGCCATGTTGATGTGGAAGCTTCTTGTTCTAAAGTAAGCCTTCAAAAATTATTGAACGAAATAATGTTATAACAGATATATTTTATTTTCTCTCAAGATGATGTCCTGTTTATTAGATTAAGAGATATAAACATATAACGGACTGTGATTTTTATCTTAGGTATTTAAGCAATGGCTGAAATTAAATTGTAGTGATAAAAAATAAACAGTGATAAAAATAAACATATATTAAGTAAATACTAGTATTTATGGAAAATACAGTGTAAAATCATTTTTTTTATCTGTTATATGAACTAAAGCTTGAATTTGTATATTTTAAGGCTACATTTGTAGAAGAGAATGAGATATGTCTAGATGACTGGAACCCGGAACAGGCTCAGTATGTAAATAATGATATTGATGACAAGGATGAAAATAGCCAAGACGATTCCAGTGATAATGAAAGTGATGCTGATTTCATTGATGAAAATGCTCCGGTCATTGTAATAGAAAACCCACCGTACAGGGAAGACAATGTCAACAATGGGTTGTGTTTTGACCATGAGTCTGAATTTGATGCGGACAATGTGAATGAAAATGTCAATGGAAGGCATAGAGTAAAATTTAGTTCCGATGTTGTGAAGGGAAATAGTAATTCGTCACAGCCCTGGCATAATACAAAATTTCAAGAAAAGGAGGAACCTTCTTGTTCTACATTACCCATTAGGAGGTATTTGTTAGTTAATTTTTCATGGAATAAAAGTCAATACTATTTTGTAGTGATCACTCTTAATTTGCTGCTTTTAAAACTCGGCTTTTGACTGAAAAGTGGGGCGTAATTTTTACTTTACCAGGTTTTGGTTGCAGGGAGACATTAGGTTTCAGGTTTTGGAGCAACTTTATGTCTAGTATTTCCCATAACATACTGGCATAATCATTGTTGTTTTTTTTTTCAAAATAATTTTTAGTGTTTCAAGTTTTTGATATAGTAAAAAAGTCAAATTACTGGGAGAATTTTGAAAAACAAAAATAACAGTAACTTTGATTCTGATGATACTGTGTTTTCTTTTTCAGGGTTGTTAGGAGAGGAGCAAAAGTAACATCCCGAATAGGTGGAATGATGGACAGTGTCCGCGACCATAAATCTTGTACTATAATATAAATATTATTAATATATATATATAATTTGTATATATATTTTATATATATCACAGATATTTTATACTCATGTACTGGTGCGATGTAACTATACAAAATACTGAGATTTTTTATTTGTATAAGTAAAAATGGACTTAATTTTAACCAAGAATAGGTATATATATACATGTACTAAAAAAGAAGTATTTCACATTTTATCAGCCATTAAATCATGTGCTATACATTGACATTCCAGATTAATAGACATTCATGTAACATTCCAAAAACTACAGCAGTTAGAGCTCTGTATTATATAAAGACGATACCCAAAAGTAAAATGATAATTACTGAAGTATTAATTTATCAACAGATATAGATGGAAGTATAGCATTCTTTTTAAATATTTTCATAGGTCAATTACTGTGGCATTTAGAATTATATTGATATTTTTTCATAATTAAGGTGGTCACATGGAATGGTTAAAAGTATGATAGAAAAATGGTCAAACACATTTGTTTAAGACAATACATATTGTACCATTTTCAAATCTGAATATGATCCCAATATCACGTCACACCATATTATAAGTCAAGTCTGTGGTGAAAGGTTGTAATTTTTCATTTAACTCCAATTATTAATATATAGTCCATCTTGGCCCTCTTGTATTCCAGAAAGTCACTATTTTTTATGCTGTTTTTTATCCTGAGGTTATATAATCTTTTTTAATAGATAATGTATATTATGTGTAGATTCTATATGGATGTAAAATAAACAAAGATGAAAGATCTGCATATATATTTTTTTCATTTAGAATTTTTCATTTTTACATATTTAATGATATTTTATTTAAAACTGTTAATATTTAGTTGTATTGAACAGAAAAGCCAAAAACTCATACACAATTTATATACAGCTTGAGTTATATTAGAACTATCAATTAAAGCAAAATATTTGTACTGACATAGTATATGCAATTTGTTAAATCATTTAGAGTGAAGTTATTTAAAAGTACTATGACGAGCAAATCTGAGCATTTTTTTTTAAGAGTTAAACAAGAGCGATCAGTAATCACATGTGTCGCCTCATAATGGCCAATTTCATGTTAGGACAAATTTTGTGACAGACGGACAGACAGACGGACAGTGCACAACTAGACTTGGTACTGATCAATCATGTAAAGTTTGGATAAAATTGCACCACTAGCTTATGAGGAGTAGTCCGGACAAGCTTTTGCGTATCTGGCAACACACAGAAAAAAACACCTTTTTATCAAAGGGCCATAACTCAGCCAAAAATCATTCAACCGGAAAACCCGTGCAATATGCGCAAGGACTTGAGCTACATATCAATCCTGTAAAGTTTCATTGAAATTGCATAAGTGGTATAAGAGAACTAGTCCGGACAAACTTTAAAAATAAAAACTATTAAAGGGCCATAACTCTGACAAAAATCATTGAACCGGAAAATGCTGACAATATGCACAACTAGACTTGGTACTGATCATTCCTGTAAAGTTTGGATGAAATTGCACCAGTAGTTTATGAGGAGTAGTCCGGACAAGCTATTGTGTATCTGGCAACGCACAGAAAAAAACACCTTTTTATCAAAGGGCCATAACTAGGCCAAAAATCATTCAACCGGAAAACCCTTGCAATATGCGCAAGGACTTAAGCTACAGATCAATCCTGTAAAGTTTCATTGAATTTGCATTAGTGGTATAAGAGAAGTAGTCCGGACAAACTTTAAAATTAAAAATTTCTAAAGGGCCATAACTCTGACAAAAATCATTGAAACGGAAAATGCTGACAATATGCACAACTAGACTTGATACTGATCATTCCTGTAAAGTTTGGATGAAATTGCACCAGTAGTTGATGAGGGGTAGTCCGGACAAGTTTTGTGACGGACAGACAGACAGACGACGGAGAAGTGATCCCTATATGTCGCCACTACTCCGTAGAGGCAACACAAAAATTAATCAAACATAAAGTACATTTTACCATATTACTTTGTGCAATTATTGTCATAATAAAGGATACTGATTATATATATTCAGTTAGACTTTTGTTGTTTTTTGCTGATGTTACATAAATTCAGAGGAAAAAATCCCAGTCCCATGATGTCAAAAACCCTTAGCCTGCTGAATTTCTGTAATGGACTTTTCCACCTTCCATTTTTGGAAGTATCCATTATCATTTTTAGGGATATCAAGATAAGAACTTGAAGATGGTCAGCCAACAGTATAGAGCCTGGTCAGACTGCACAGATACATAACAGAGCTAAAAATACATAACACAGCCAAACTTTTGTAACATGTACTGCGTGTAACATACTCAAATATACATAACATAGTTAACAATACATAACACAGCCAAACTTTTTGAACATTTAACATTGCCCTTCCATACATTATTACAAGCACCCCAGTAGAACCACAGACATTTTGTAAGCTAGCTGGACACCTTCCTCACACGAAAGAATCCGAAGTCCCTATCAGGATTCGAACCATCAGTGGTGAGGGGCAAGTGGTTTGAAGTCAACAAGGTTCACCATTCAGTCACAGACTTATGTTATTTTACATAACCATACTTGTGTCGTATAACTAAACATATGTAACACTGATAAACCACAGTTGAGTAACATATCCATTCTGAGTTAATGTAAAATTGATACAATTATGACTAGATCAGGGTTTTATGCGCCAAGTTGTTTCAATGTAACTAAAACAGATGAATTGTGAGTAGTGATGGGATGACAGTTTATTAATACAGTTTATAAGTACCAACCTGTTGTGATTGATGAAGTCATAAACTGTGATTACAAATGAATAATGAAGAAAACTTGTTTTTCCTCTACTCAAATATTACACAAAACTCCATAAATAACAAAACTGTCCAAATAGTTAAATTATGAACACAATAATTTTGGCCCTAAAAAGGAGAAAAAAATCAATGGTTGAAAATGATTAAAATAACATTAGATAAAAACAAACAAAATTAGTATCAAATCGTGTTAAGTTGGGTTTTTATGACATTTATTGTATATAATTATTTAGCACTTTTTTATGAACACATTAAATTTTGAGACAATCACAGAATTATTTACAGGTTCAGTGGCCCACTTTTTTTAAAATAAAATAACAAACTGAACACAGGCAACTTTTTCATGATAAAAAACCTTCTATCAACATAAAACCCATTGATCTTTGTACAGAAAGCATATTTATTAGTGTACAGTCCAGCCTATTTAATTTTATGGATAACCCTCGTCTTGTGTTCTGTGCCGGAATATCTAATATGGCAATTTAAAGGGACTCCACTGAGGTTTTTTGACATGATGGGACTGAAAATATTTTTGCCAGATAAATGTACCAATTGATGTATGTTTAGACCATTAATCTTTGTGCAAAATTTCAGATCATTCTCGCACTTCGTTTTTCCAGAATAATTATTCAAATTGTAAAAGAATGACCAAAAATGAAAAGCGTTTAAACGCTTTTCACTCAAATCGGGCTAAGAAAAGCATAAAAATACGATTTTCAATATATTTCGAAGTATATTTCTTAACTATCTTTGCATATATTTCTTTTTAAAGTGCCTCAGCTCATTTATGTAAGAAATTCAAATGTTAAGTTTTTAGGCTTTTAAACCTCAGTGGAGTCCCTTTAACATTACGACAGCTTCCTTCACCTTCAACATTTAAAATTATATTAGAAATACATGTAAATATACCATGTAAGAAATGTGACAAAAGCATTGTGATAAAAATAGTAACATAATATTTTTCATAGTACATGGAACATACCACCATACCATGCTGGAAGTGATCTGTCTGTGCTAACAGTATATAGCCCAGGCCAGCTTGCACTTCCATCCAGTCTGATCAGGTCCAATACTGGTGGTAGACAAATTTTGGTATTTTAATTTTAAAATCCATTAAATCGAATGGAGTGTTCTAAATTCAAAGCAGGGCAAATCATTTTTACAAATACATTTCTTGTACTATTTTTCTTAGAGTTTGATATTTTGATAATTTGTTAACCATTTTGGGATGCAGGCAGCTTTTAAAACCTGTATATTCATACAAGTTTACAAACACAAGTTTTACACCACTAATTTCTATGAGACAGACTGGGACAGTTGAACAAAGGTGCTGTTGTCAAAGCATGTGACGAAGAATCACAAAAATACCTTTTAACTGAAATGATCAATTCAATTTTAATCAAATTTGATTTTAATTCTTATGTTTTCATTTCTTGCATCATTTTGATAACAACTATGATGATTAGAGTTTTTAAAGACAATGTAATAAGTAAATAACAAGAAATGTAAGGTATACTGATCACCTGTGAAATAAGGTGACCTGTGTACAAAGGCCATGTTTAATATCATATCCCCAGCTGTTATTCATTTCAATTTGATTTGTGGCCTATTTGGATATGCAGCACACTTGGCCTTAAGTGAAATAAGGAACATGAATTGTGAATGTTAAACAAAAATATGGCAGTTTAATGAAAATAAAATATAAATGACCTAAATAATTGGTTAAACGAAATCTAACTTTTGGTATATCCTATCACAATTCAGATTTCTGAGCACCGTCAGACTTGGTTAAAATTTCATCTATTTTATCGTACTGCCCCGTATACCGGTAATACGCAAGCAGCGCTACATTTTTCGCACCGATAGCACTCATTTCCATAGCTGAGGCGGCTAATTCTATTGCATTGATGTGGTACATCTGTTCATGAAGTGTAAATGAAGGCAACTGGACCGAGGACGGATATTCCGGATAAGCCATCCAATTCACTACTCGTATATCGCTCCATTCCGGTACTAACTGCTTAAGTTCGTTCACATTCGGTACTTTATTAGAGAAAACTCGGTAAACAGTTTTTTCCGCTGTTTCTCCAGACACTGGTTTCTGTTTCGTAAATGAATTAAAGAAAGTACTTTCGTTTGTTGTAAAAAATGCATTAGGTAAGCTGTCAACACTGTCCACACCAAAATATGTGGTGTTCGGTTCACCCTCAATGAAACTTGCAACAGTTAGATGAAAGTCTTCGGGAACTTGTTTTATACTGGTCTGGAAGTCTTCAAACTTGATATCAGACATGTCGTTATATAAAGGTGTGGCGATGATCACTATGTCATATTCTTTAGAATTCATGTCGTCTTCATTAGTGGATCTTCCCGGCAGGTAATCAATCTGATAAACAGGAGGCGAGCCTTCACTTGTCAGTGACACTGCAGTAACCTGAAGTACAGAGAGCAGAGATCACATTGTGTATATACAGAATCAAGGGAAACACAATATTGAGTAATATTTTTTTTTGGGTTTTGGGTTAAAACATGCCCCACCAGTATGGGTATTTGTACCCCCAGTTTTACTGGTGGGGGAGGCCCTTGGTCCCCATGAAATTTTACTGCAAAAAGGGGCCCGAGTAGAACCAAAAAACATTCTATAAGTTGAATAATATCAAAAAGTCTTAAAAAAGACTTTTCTGTGTTGACATAACCCATGAAACATTCAGTTACAGCTTATATAATATTCCTACACTTCTTGTGGAAGATAAATGTAAACGAAATACAGGAATCAAATGTTATATTATATTTTTTACCTTTCCTCTAACAATCTTTGCACCTGATTTCTTCACCAGTCCTTGAGGTACCTGATGGTTGCCCCCAACAACATTCCATAAACCTGGTTCAACTCCTGCCATAGACACAGCACCTTGAAACAAACTAAAACCATTTAACTGGATTCTCTCTGTTGATTTAAACTTATGTTTTACCTGTTTAAATTTTGTCACACACAATAACAAAAGTGTTCATAGACAGACAGAAGACTTCACTATTATCAACGCTCTTGATGCCTTACGGTAAAGTAATTAATGTTTATAAAGGGGAAATATTTGATAGAGTTATAGATCTTGGTCACTGGTTTATAATTATAACACAAAATTCTTGTTTGTATTTCTTGTAAATATCTTCAGCTGTTACTAAGGCAAAAATTGAATACCCATAAAATTTTGAAGGATGCAAAGGCAACCTCAACACTAGAATTAAAACAAAAATGCAAGCTATGCAAAATGTGACGCCAACTTTGGAACAAGAGCACCACTTGCAGTGTTAACGCTCATCTATTAAGAGCAACAACTATCAATAACCAATTTTTATCAATATTCAAGTTAAAATGGAAAAAGGCATAACTATAAACATAGCTTTAAGGATAATGCCCCTAGACTTACTATCTTACTATTGTTCTCATGATGAAGAAGTATTCCAATTTCCATGTTGATGCCTTCATAAATTTAAAATCATTCTAATTAACATGCAATATTGACAAAATTCTAAGTTAAAAGGGGGGGGGGGGGGGCATAACTCCAAAAAATATAGCTTTAAGATTTGTGCCCCTTGTGTTACAACTGCACCTTGTCATGATAAGCAAGTATTCCATGTTTCGTTATGATATCTTAAGTTTTAAAATGATTGTATAATGGGCTACGTAAAAGTTTTTGCATGACCACAAAGACGCCCAAGCGATCATAATAGCATGACTTTTTCTCAAAACAGACATTTACAAAATGTGACGCCAACTTTGGCACTGGGTTGAATAGGATAGCTTCCTGATGGTCAAGCTAAATATCACAAACACTACATTTAGATTACACAAGTTTTTGACAAAACTTACCTACTAGCCCATGTATACTAGATGTCTGACCATAATTTATTCTCATAGCTCCCGTAACAAATTCATCAATAAATCTGTCAGAAAAACCTTCTCCTTTGAAAAGATCTTTCACTGACTTTTTAGAGAACTCCACAAAAGAAGGGTCAATAGCATTTAACAAATCTTCAACTGTTGAAAATGCATGACCTTCCTTCTGAAATTCATACAACCTGAAGATAAAAAATTAAATCGTAGTCAGTGAATAATAAAGTAATATACCAGATAAACATGGCATTACTATGTGGCTGTGTTAACTGATACCCAGCAGAGTAACCAATGTCCATATAAGGTATATGCCTACATATTTATGTGCATAATTGTAATTATTATTATTATATATAACTGCATCATACTGTACAGATCATGATACTATATCTTAGCATTCTGGTTTTAGTTCTATTACAATGATTAAGTCAGAAAAAACAAGAATGAATAACACAGATGGCTGCCGTCAAAAGTAACTTTCAAAAAGCTGAAATCATAGTTTTATAATTAAAGGAAGTATGATTCTTTTCATCCTTAGTGACCTTGACCTTGATCCAATCATCTTAAGAGCCTGACCATGGGTTGTAGTCAATGTGAGGTACCAAGGCACCAAATATTTAAGACAATAAAAGAATTTGCTATGAGCAAATCAAAATGGTGATAAGAAAGAAAGGCAAAACTGTAAACTATGAACTCCACCAAAAAATTCAATGAGCATAAAAATACAGATGGATAAACTAAAAGAAAGACAACATAGAAAAGCACTTTGTTCATTGAAATATTGCTGATTAACAAATGCAACTACATTTTATATCATAATTTTTTTTTCATCTGAAAGTCCTTAAAAATATTCATTGATTCTCACCTTGTCAGTGGTTTCAGTATTTTTTCCTGTACCCAGGTTTTAATGTTATAAGCATCCATTCCATAACGCCACATCAATTTTGCAATTGTAAGGGCAGAGTAGTCACTTGTAGAAAACACAATTTCTTCACCATCAAAGATGCCTAGACGACCTGGCTCTGGATTTGTATCTCTTGTAAGGCCTGAAAGATACCATGTATGTTGAAATCTAATGGAATAAGAAATATATTCTTTGGAAACTTTTGAAGTTGTGCGTATTAAGAACTGATATGACTGTTACATTTTTACAAAACTGAATTTTATTTTATTGTAAGATAGGATTCTCAAACAGGTTAAACCATTTTCTTTTTAAAATTGGAAAGAAAGAAAAAATGAAAAAAAAAGCCCCTTCAGTTTAAGGAATTTATTAAATATCAAAAACTATATATACACTAACAACCTAGCCACAAGCAAGTTTTTATGAATTCAACACTTTCTATTGACTGTTCATTTCACAAACTCATTGAAAAAAGGCAATGAATCCTAAGTTTCAGGATGCCTATATCAACTAACTTAAACAAAGTTTCATTAATAACAAGATTGCATTTGAGAAAAATGCTATGCCACCACATGGTTCAAATTTCATAGCTGTACATCAAAGGACAAGAAAGTAGGTCTCATCATCCAAATCTAGGTCAAAGTTCAATTTTACAACTAAAACTGTGCACATGGTCAAAATGTCATTGCTGTACATCAAAGGACAAGAAAGTAGGTCACTGTCTCCTTGGGCAAGGCATAAATTTGACCCAAGGGTTTAATAACAATCTTGATACAGGTCCACCAAACAACATTTCAAGTCAAATATCTAAGCTATAGCTTTCTCCCATTCAGAAAACATTTGTTTTATTTTCTGTTTTTAATATGTGTACATAATGAGAATCACTGCCCCCGGGCAGGGCCAATTTTTGACATTTGAACAACTTTGGTAGAGGACCTATAGATGATATTATATATCAAACATCAAAGCTCTATGCCTTGAACCTTCAGACAAAAATAAAAAAAAATTTTTCACTATATGTACATAATGAAAATCAATGACCCCCGGGGCGGAACCAATTTTGACCCCAGGGCTATAATTTGAACAATCTTGCTAGAGGTTCACTACACAATGTTTCATGCAAAATATCTTAACTCTATCCTTTGTAAATTTAGAGAAGATGATTTTTTTAAGTTTTAACTATATACATATAAGATAAACCTATGGCTCCCAGGGGCGGGGCTAATTTTGACACAAGAGGCAAAATTTGAACAACTTTGGAAGAGTACCTTTAGATGATATTATTTAACAAATATTAAAGCTCCAAGCCTTGTACCTTCAGACAATAAGATTTTTTTATTTTTTACTATATGTATATATTGAAATCAATGACCCCCAGGGCGGGGGCAATTTTGACCCCAGGGCTATAATTTGAACAATCTTGCTAGAGGTTTACAACACAATGTTTCATGCAAAATATCTAACCTCTTGCATTTGTCAATTGCTAGAAGAATTTTTTTAAGTTTTTACTATATAATTATAAGGAAAACCAATGACCCCTGGGGCGGGGCCGATTTTGACCCCAGGGCTATAATTTGAACAATCTGGGTAGAGGTCTACCAGACAATGCCTTATGCAAAATATCTAACCTCTAGGCCTTTTGGGTCTTTACAAGAAGGTGTTTTAAGTTTTTACTATATGTTCATATAGCGAAAATCAATGACCCCGGGGCTGGGCCGATTTTGACCCAAGGGCTATAATTTGAACAATCTTGGTAAGGGTCTACCAGATGATGCCTTATGCAAAATATCTAAGCTCTAGGCTTTTTGGGTTTTTACAAGAAGGTATTTAAAGTTTTTACTATATGTACATAGTGAAAATCAATGACCCCCGGGGCGGGGCCAATTTTGACCCCAGGGCTATAATTTGAACAATCTTGTTAGAGGTCTACCAGACAATGCCTTATGCAAAATATCTAAGCTCTAGGCCTTTTGGGTCTTTACAAGAAGATTTTTTAAATTTATTCTTATAATTCCTTTTGGTTGCCATGGCAACCAGATTTCTGCATGGAATGAAATTCTTTGAACAACTTTGGAAGCCCTTCACCCAAGGAACAATCCTGCCAAGTTTGGTTGAAATTGGACTAGTAGTTTTTCACAAGAAGATTTTTAAGTTCACTATATAATCTATATAACACACACACAAACACACACACACATAGGTTAATCGCTATAAAAATATATCAAATGTAAAGAAATAAAAATTACAACAGACAGCGCAAAAAAAATGGAAGAAATTCTCCATGATATGCTATATAAATATTTGAAGTTTCCTTTTATAACTTAAATTATTGGATGATCTTCCTTACCAAGAATGTCAGTAAAATTAATCATGTATAAGTTTGCAGGATGTATGATAGTTCCACCAGCATTATAGTTATGTCCACTGATTGTTATAGGTGCCAGTCTACCACCAACATGTTGCTTCTCAAATATATCTATTTCAACATCATCTCCAAACAGCTCACGGAGGAAATATGCTGCAGATGCTCCACTGATGCCTGCACCAACTATACCTACAATGATACAAAGAATGACAGTGTAATGTTGGCCATCTCTGGTTCCAGTCTTTTACAGCTGTATTGATTATTCATTTCAATGTACATTTGAATGAACATATTACAAATCAATGGGACTACTATCTTAAATGTAAAAAAGTACAAGCTTTCAGATGAAACAATACTATTTTTAATAAAGTGCCAGGGTTTGCTATCCGGCACTATCCGGAGCTGCTCCTATCCGAAATGGTGTCATATGTAAGGAAGGTGAAATCAGTGCAATCGACGAAATAATAAAAATATTGAAATGTTTACCGACTCTAGGTTTTTCATCTGATCCATTTACGTGGCTTGTACTGATTGATAAGCACAAAATAATACACAGCTGTGCAAAAACTGTTAACGTCCTCATTTCTACAAATTATCTGGAAAGGATAAACACCGCTATCTGGTACACTCAATCCGGTATTAAGTTATTTTTTTATTATTCGAATCTGTTTTATTAGATCTATCTAAAGTTCTTGTAAATGCCATTTAATTATGTAATCTTGCTTAAATCATTGCCGTCTAAAGTGTGTTATTTCAATGACAGTAAACTAGCTCACTTTTAGACATGTAACATATCTGTGCACGCAAATCTCGTGCACTATTTGTTGATGCAGTACTTTAATAAAAATTTATATGTCAGCTAATTTGAAAACACAACGACGTTTTTATAGGAAAGAAATCACACATTTTGTTTATAAAATTAATTCAAATCTGAAAATAAAGTTACACTGTAGTGATGTTCCGATTGTCGCAAGTCGTCGATAATCAGTTACTGTTATGTAAAGCGACAATAATCGATTCACTAAAATTTGTTCCGCGACGTTGTCGAAAATGTTTAAAAATCAAATGTAATTAATTCTGACAGTAATTTTCTTTTAGGAACACCTCGCCGATCGCAAAAAATCATCGCAGAGACAATTTGGAGTTGAACAGGCTCAATAAGTGATGTAAACAATAGTAATATAATGTGATTTGAATGTTATTATTTGACATCCATTGCAAAATAAAATCTATTTCGTAAAATTATGACTATATAAGGTTAAAACTGTGTTAAAAAGTGCTAAATGAAGTTCATGTTACTGAATATAATCAAGTGCCTTGTGAAGAAATGTTACTGCCATATTTCTTTTTAACGCGACTTTATTCGAAAAGTTATCGATTATGTCCCATCCGACTGAACCGATGATCGATTGGGACAAATTTCAACCGATTTCCATCACTAAGTTACAGTATAGTTGGAAATATTATAACATTATAATACAAGTGCCCCTGAGAATTGGTCAATACCGGATACCTGATTTTAGCTGAACACTAAATATAGCTGTCACGTGACCGGTAAGAAATACGTGTTTTTATTAATTCTACATTTTTGCTATTTTTCAAAAAAGGCATGACTAGTTTCATTTTTAGGTTAATACTCTATCAGTCTTAATGTATAAATCAACCATTGCATGCTTTTAGAATGATGAACCACATCACGTTTTTACAGTTGACAAAAATTGATAGTGGAGCAGTTGTCGGACATGCACAACAAATTTTAATCGTGCAGTTTTTGCCGATATATAGATATCATTTGAACTCCAATGCCATTGCTTTCATTTTGGCTCATCTTCATGACTATATATGAATTACATTAAATTTGAATGATACTCAGTAGTTTTATCAGTATTTTAATAGTTATTTGAAGTTTTGAACTATTGAAATATGAAACTTTTGTGACATGTTTTAATACATTTTACTAAAAATTAAAATATGCGTATTATTCTATCTATCTTCCATTGAGTCAAACCCTTGCTAAGGACCTAGACTTTAATATTAGTAATGTGACATGTGTTAGTACATTTTTACTAGAATTATATTATTACCACTGATTACCTTACCTTACCTTTACCTTCTTCTTCTTTTTCTTCTGGGCATTTAAGCCAAGATGGCTTGTAAGTTCCTCTTATACTGTATAGTAGTAGTATAGTCAAAGATAACTTCTATAAATGTCACTTGTATGAAATCTTTTACTTTGCCAGCTCCGGTTGAGTAGAGTTTTTAATGTCAAAATGCTGGTCGATGCATCTAATAGGAAATTTCTGAATTATGAATATGGATGTATGAAATGTATATAGTGTTAACATAATGTTTTATGTTACTGCCATTTGGCATAACATTATATATTTGATATCATGTCTGTTATGTATTATTATTCTGATGAAGGTGCATAAAAATTTGTGTATCTAGCAAAATGCTAAAATAAATGTTGAAGATACAAAATACATACATGTTGTTGTTAGATTCTTTATCTTTGAACAATTACATAGAAAAGAATCAGGGGAAAGTGTTTTTGCCAAGTACTAGTTGCTTTATTAATTATTTTGTATTTGTCACAGGGTGAGAAAAAATATACAGCATGCAGGGTTTTACATCTCTTTGAAATTTTAGGGGTCCAGTGGATGCACAGCCAAGAAAAGTAGGGGTCCAGGCCTGAATTTTAGGGGTCCAAAATTATATTCACTATAAAAGACTATGAAGACCAATCTATTTTGCTTAAAATCATTTATTTACCCTGTAAGAAATATGCATGTATATGTACTGTTTTCATAAGAGGTATATTATTTCAATATCTTTTATCACTAGCCGAGGCTAGGTTTTTTTATAGCCCTTTACAATAATATCATGTGCTATTTCCAAGACTTATAAGTATTTGAGTGGCTGGAATGTCAAGTTTTAGTAGCATATTTTGTTATTGATAAGGTGATTACACCAACAGACTGAAAATTTGTACTGATCTATTTAAATATTTTAGCTGAACTAGTAAACACACAATATATATCTTTACAGACCAGTCAGCTAAATATGTTGCGTTTTTAAAAATATCATATAACAAAAGGCCGACGAAACTGCTTTTGCACCTCTTCATAAGCTGGGACATAAGATAACTTAAGTTTATGCTCGCCCATATGGTTTTATACCGGTGGCCGATGGCGAGGGTAAATAAACTTACCTTATGTCCCAGTCATAAGTTAAGTTAGCCGAAACCATTATATTTATAACACCAACGATAATAACATAACCAGTTACTTATTTTCTTTAACACTATGAAAATAAGTTTGCAAAAAGCACTGCCTTTTTTTTTATCGCCGTTCATGTACAATTTTAATACATTCGCCGAACTGGTATACGCTTTACCAATAGTAATTGCTTGTTATAAATAGTCCGTCTAAATTTAGCAATAGAAAAACCAAAAACAGCTACCTAAAATAGATTTTACGGTAAACGTCATCAGTTACTGTAGCTTGCACGATAAACGTCATCAGTTTCTGCAGCGGGCACTTGCAAATAGCATACACAGTAGATTTCAATTATGTTAACTTCCGAAATAAACAAATGCAAGCATTTTCAGCTCTAAATGGAATTTTGTGAGCTTCGAGAAGAAAGAGATAAAATCATATCGGGTCAGAAACATTAATATCTATTGTCTAGGATTATTTTTGTGCGTACACTTGTACGCAAGTGGATAACTTATATGCGTACATGTCAAAATTTATGCGTATAGGGACGCAGAATTCTGCGTCCCGTAAAACCCTGAGCATGACTTGACATTATTATTTTGTAGGTACAGTGCACAATTAGCATTGACTCAGAGCTTTATCCTGTCATAGGCTCATATTGGGCACCAAATGTCACAGGTTGAGAAATATGTGCATTATTTGAACCTTGTACCCTCAGATTACCACTCATAATCTCTATTAACTGACCTACCCAGCCCCTTACATAATTATTTCCTTCAAAAGTTTCAGTGAATAGCTCAAATAGCGTCACAAAATTTTAGTGAATAGTTCTGTTCCATGACAAATTTATATGTATATAAATGTCTTATATTTAGAGATGTGTAGATGAATAATTGATGAACCATGAGACGTGCAGCTGTAGCCAGTAAAAGCCCTACATCAAAGGCACTGAAAGTTGTTAAAGAATTAGATGCCTTTCCTAAAGTACCAGACAATTTCAAGGAAACAACTGTCTCAGGAGGAGGAAGTATGTTTATACAGTCATGTTAAAATGTTACTGCAAACATTTTTAAGATTTTTATCATTTATTTTTATAACTCTACAATTGTGTATTAATTGTTAACTATGTTAAATAACTCATTTGCATCTGTAAATCTTACAAGTAGTAGCACCTATGTTGCAGTACTGAGTTATCATCTGTCAATACTTGATATCTCTTTCGTTGTTGAATGCTAGCCGCAATGAAGTCTGACCAACATTTATATATTTGCTCCTCATCTTTTAACATTCTCGATTGGTATTGAAACCATTAAGGTAACAAACTGATGGTTATAAAAGCAGAGCGAATCTACAATGTATTATATTCATTAATTGATGGTGAGAAATGACAAATTGTGAAAAGTAATTTTTAAAGGAACTCCACTGAGGTCAAAAAGCCATAAAACATAAAATCTTAATTTTGTTCATAGATCAGCTGGGGCACTTAAAACAGAAATATATATAGGAGGCAGTTAAGAAATATACTTAAAAATAAATTATAAATTGCGTTTTTGAGCTTTTTTTATTATCTTGTTTTGAGTAAAAAGCATTGTAATGCGTTTCAAGTTATATCATTTTTCACAGTTAGAATAATTATTCCGTGGAGTCAGCAAATTATCTAGAGGTTTTGCACATAAGTTATTGGTCTAGACTTACATCAAATGAAACATTGATCTCAAAAAATTATTTCCAGACCCGTCATGTCAAAATACCATCAGTGGAGTCCCTTTAACAGTATCACCACTAACAAACATAGGGTTAAAGTATATTTGAACATAATATAAGTCACACCTATAAAACTAATTTATACTTCTGTCTTTTCTGTTTTAGTATCAGTTGTAACATTTGTGTTCATTGCTATATTGATGATCTCAGAGGTACGCTATTATGCTAATACGTTACTCAAGTTTGACTATGAGGTGGACAAAGAAGTTGACGGGTGAGTGAAAGTCTCATGACGGTTGTTTAAAAATATTTAATTTAGCTGGATTATTAAGCAAGTTCTTGCAACTTATATTAATCACATTCTAGTTGGCTTCCTGGAACTAACAAGACTTAGTACTGGTGTCATATGAAAAAACATGGCCATGACCCAAGTAGGGCTTGAAACCATGACCCCTGGGTTGAGAGGCAGACAACTTAACCACTAGGCCATCGCTCCCCTTGAGTACACCAGAAAAATAATTATACATATATATCATAAATTAGGTTATAAGATTTTAATTACTCTGTGTAGCCATGAAACATTGTACATACATGTATATGCCACATCATTTATAAGGTATTGCATGGAACATTCCTATCTTATTTAAGATGTAAATATTCTATTCTTTTATCAAGTCTAATGAAATGTAGGCCATGCTATGCACAAACTGTTAACCACTGGTAAGTCTTAATGATTCTTTTGTCAAGAACAAAGTATTTCCAAACTATCATAGTGCATGAACTTTGTTTGCTTGAAATAGCAAATGTTATTATGCTAAATTAATATATCTTGTCATATACTCCCATTTAAACAATTTTGTCATTTCAGGAAGATTAAGATAAATGTTGATATGACAGTTGCAATGAGATGTGAACGTAAGTATTATTTAATGAACACAATTTGGCATGCCCAGTCTTCCCTATGAGCCTTTATCAACTATACATTGTACATAAAATAAACATTATAAAGATTGATTAACAACAAAATATTTTCAAATAGTTAAGATACATGTAAAATTAATATAATCTGTAACATCATAGTAGGATTTTACAATTTGAAAAGAAATTCTAGTATATTTCATCTGTTTATTATAATTTTTCACGCTTTAAAGGGTGGAAGTACTATTTAGAACAAACTGCCTGGACATGACATTACTGTAATAAATTCATTATTTTATCATCAGATATTGGAGCTGATGTGTTGGATCAAACAGGCCAGGATACACACAGTTTTGGCTCACTAAAGATGGACAACACACACTATGAGCTGTCACCACGGCAACAACAATATCATGAAATCACCCAGCAGGTCAACCAGTACATGCGAGACGAATATCATGCCATACAAGAACTTATGTGGCTCTCAGGCCATCAACCAGCTCTAAAAATGGGAATGCCAAAAAGGTAGGGACGAGTTTTAGGTCAGAAATGAGATTTGTTAAAGTTTAATCAGCCGGACAATATGTTTTATCAGTTTATTGTTGGGTTAGAAATGGTGCAAGTTTATAGAGCAGCAATGCAGCTTTTTTATAGGAAGACGAAGTTAGCTTTTCTCACTTGATGTGGTGTTGAACTGGCCTAAATTAGGCATAAAGCTGTTGCCATGTTGGGCTGTGCATTTTCACAATTGGTCACAACACATGGCGATGATTTAATTGGCACTTTTCACAATTAAATCAAATCTGTATACTGTTTGTGTATGTTTTGTATATTAAATGTTGATGCATGATATTTATACTTCATATATACATGTATATTTGTTTATCTCTTTAGCAACAGATTATTTGTCATAAGAGCAGTTATTTAGTTTATACAAAAGAAATCATAAAGTAGGCTTAAGATTTTGGCTTATCATTTCCGAGTATTATTAAGAAACAGAAATATCAAACCAAACTAAGAGATAATTTCTTATCACATTATTTGTGAGAAAATTGAATTTTTTTTATATAAAGAGACTTCTACAATAATTCCTCTCAAAAGGCTATTTGAATCGACATTTTCAACCGAAAGTTCTCGACATCCTGTTTTACAGATGCACCAGTGAATCAGTATTGCACTATTTCTGTATGTTAATCAAATTTAAAGTCTACCCAAATTAATGTTTAGATGTCCATTTACATAAACCATATTCGTTCTTCAAATATTTTCAGGGAGATTGAACCAGAAGGACCTGCGGATGCATGCAGAATCCATGGCACTCTAGAAGTGAACAAAGTTGCTGGAAATTTTCATATCACTGCTGGAAAGTAAGAATAAAATTGAAATTACTCTAAATCAAGAATGATTTGATAAAAAACAATTTTTTAATAGTAAATTGAAAGGGGTAACTTTTTTTTTGTTTTAAAATTTTAGAGATAGTACTCTTTTCTATAGCATTGTATATTTCATTTTGGTAAAAACTTAATTATAATAATTATTTTAGTCTTCCAAATAAGATACATAAATTACATGTACTACCAGTACATTGCATATGTATATTAAAAGTGCTGTCTATTTTCTACTGTTCTTAACAAAAGTGTGAAAGGAAGTGAAAAAGCATGTTTATTTACTAGCATTATTATTTTGTATGATTTTATATGATTTATTATCTAAAGATCTGCATTTGATAGATCATTACACCCCAATTCAAGGTAAGGATGGTGTATGAATTTGTTAATGTAAATTGGTCAGAAGGGTAGCTGGTTAAATGGGTTGTGCGGTTAAAGTCAATTGGGTAGTAATACACATTTACTACTAAATTTTCACAGAAATGAGCCATTTTATATGTGGATGTCAAACTTGCTAGGCTGTTTATGAGCTATGTTTATGAACTAAGAATATTTAGTATTTTGAGAAGTTTAATAAGTCAACAGTCATATTCCCCACCTAAATGAAAATAGTTTCTGCTTAAGTACTGAGTGCATCTTACTATAATTATGTGGCAATGATGATTGGTCAACAAGTAGTCTGCTAAGGACTGTAGAGTTGAAGCAAAGGTCAAGATCTTCATGGCCCTGCTGATACATTATTTTAGTTAATGGGATTGAAGCAAACCTTTTGATTGTCAGTATATTAGTTAATAATATAAAAGATTTGTACCATAACATGGTTGAATAAGGTTTCTATTAAAAGGAACTCCATTGAGGTTTGAAAAAATATAAAATTTCAAATTCTTACATAGTTCTACTGGTGTACTTGAATTGGAAATATATGCGATGGATAATGAATTAAATTGATACTAGATTATAGATTGTAGATTTTATTGACACTTCAGTAGCAGTGTGAGATATTTTTATGCATGGAAAATTGAGGATTTGATACTAATTTGTCTGAACACTTTATATCAGGATCTTTTGGATAACAACTGGCTTGTGTAGACCACTTGATACAGTTAGACCTGTGATAGAGACCACATCTGAATAAGGACCACCCTGTGAATAAAGACCATTTTTCAACCACTGTTAATTGATTTAATAGAACAGAGTGACCCCAAAATAAAGACCACTTGCCTATGAAAGCCATGTTTTGGCCTTTGTCGATAGGGTTGACTGTACATATTGAACCATTGCATAACTGTAATTGACCTAAAAGTATAGATATTAAATGTATTTACTTGAAAGCCCAGGTATCAGTTGTTATGACATGTATATGTAAAGTATGTATGAAATGAGAGTTTGCGGATATTACAGGTCAGTTCCAGTTATACCTAGAGGACACGCCCACCTGGCCATGATGCTAAGAACTTCTGGTAAACATAACCACCCTTATACATTCATACAGAACTATATGATTAGGTTATCACAGTATAGCTTAGTTGGCACAGGTGTATACGGATAACCAACACATCCAAAAACTGCTTTAATTATCATATAGCTTAGATAAAAGCAGGGTTCACACTGCCGGTCCAATCAATTTGATTTACCCGATTGTGGAAAAATACTCGACCAAGTTTTGAAACAACTGCTATAACCATGCTTGTACGCAATTTTTTTCTCACAATTTGTACACAAACAGTCCACGATTATGATCCAATCATACATAGCCATAAATATACATATTCACTTCTCTTTTCCTGATGAGCAATGCAAATTGTACTTTACCATTTCAACCTATATATATATGATCCGAACACAATGTTAGCTGAATCGGCTCCGTGAGCAATAAACCCTATACTAATTTGTAGATTTTCTAATCGTGACAAAACTGGACCTCTTATTTATTATTTTTGGATTAACTTGCCCAGTTATTGTGATAATTTCTAAAGTGTTTGGTTTATGTCCACATAACTGAATTGCTTTGATACCTGGTATTTTAAAAGGCTTTTGAGTTGCAATTGGGAGCAATGCTGACCAAGGTAAGCAGCCCCTACAATTCATATCGAGAAAATGGCACTTTATCAAATTGATTGGATTGGCAGTGTGATCCTTACTTCGTCCATATGTGCCCATGGTGTATTATCTAATTAACCAGATATATATATTTTTTTATCTTTGACCATGTGCAGTGTTTTTATTTCACTAGGTACTATCCCCAGTTACAGTTTGGCTTGGGTCATGTACACTTGGAATCATTCATGTCTAATAATGGTAAGATGGGATCATATGAAATATGGAGCACTTTTTTTCTGAAATGTGACTTATCTGTAAAAAAAATGCATGACCCAATTATATGTCATTTTCATTTTCATTTCCTTCTTGTCAATTTTATATGATATAAATTTGCATGTTAACCGTTAACCTTACTGAAAACTGAAATAACTGAATTTGTATAATGGATTTGCCCTGCTTTGAATTTGGAACAGTCTATTTAAAAATAAAGGGATACAATATCAACATATGAAAATTGAGCTATCAAAATCAGAATATGAAAATTGAGCTACCAGGAATATGGAGTCTAGTCAAACTGCACAGATATCCTGGCCGTCCTAGCTCTATAAAAGTGGCAGAATAATCCATTTTAATTTCAGCAGGTTGAAAGCTTTATTTATATTTGCATGAAATCAATAAGTAATTAAATTTATATCTGTCCCTAATATACATGATATATGCATGTACACTATATTTCTGTAACAAAATTAGTCTAAATAATGTTGTTTTCTTTTCAAAACTGTTTATTTGTTGCTTGTGCTTATGTTGTATATAAATATAAACAAAATATATGAATTAAAACAACAATAACAATATAATGTTTGGAGTGAGAGTAACATAAACACATATGTACTATTGCATTAAAAGCGTTATAATACATATGTAACCAATTTCTGACACCCTGCCTTCCCCTCCCCTCCTAATGGGACATCATTGTTAACGCTTTATGCATGTTAATGTTCTTGAAAATTTTGATGGTATTAGACTAAAATGAATACTATGCATTGTTAATTTGTTGTTAATTGTATTTTTGCATGTGCCTGAATGCAAATCAATTTTGTTATTGTCATTGAATAAATTATAAAGCATTGATAATTTTTTATATCATATTATTTGATACTAGTAAATAAAATTTATTTTTTAATGGTTTTTTTTAAAGGATGTAAATCATTATGTAACCAGTAATGCTTCAATTCTTATAAGAACATATTATAAATCAATCTTATGATAAATATAAAAACAAACATGTATTTTTTGAAGGTGTTAGTCAATATTCCTTGGTAGGTTTTTAGCTCGACTTTTCTATGAAAAGGGGAGCTATCCTACTCGCCCCGGCGTCGGCGTCGGCGTCGGCGTTGGCGTCACACCTTGGTTAAGTTTTTCGTACCACCCCACTTTATTTCAGAAGTATTACAAGTATGGCTTTGAAACTTACCATACTTGTTCACCATCATAACCTCCATCTACAGACAAGAGTACATAACTCTGTCAAGTTTTTGACAGAATTATGGCCCTTTTTTGACTTAGAAAGTGTATTGAGCTTGGTTAAGTTTTTTTGTACCACCTCACTTTATTTCAAAACCATTGGAGGTATTGCTTTGAAACTGACCATACTTGTTTACCATCACGACCTTCATCAACAGACAAGAGGACATAACTCTGTCAAGGTTTTTGACAGAATTATGCCCCTTTTTGACTTAGAAAATACATTGAATATGGGTAAAATCCACTTATTGCCTTAACCCTTTGAGATATTGCTTTGAAACTTTTAATGCTATTTCACATCATTACCCCCATCTGTACCTAAGAGAAGGTAACTCTGTCAAGGATTTGTTTTAAAAATTAAGGCCTTTTATCGACTTAGAATCTTGGTTAAGTTTTTAGTACCAGTCCACTTTTTGACTGAACTGTTTGAGATATTAATTTGAAAGTTGGAATACTTGTTTACAATCATGATTCCCAAACATGTCCAGGAGAAGGTAATTCTGTCAAAGATTTTATTTGAATTATGGCCCTTAACTGTCAATGTTTTGTATTATAGGCAAGCACTAAAAAACTTTCACATACAAAGTCAAATCTATATATTATGCTGATTGTACAAAAATATACTGCTTCCTTGGCATAGATTTCTTGAAAAATTATGTTATTATGTCATTTACCAAGGTGTTCTGAGTGACGTAAAAATACCTTATTCTCTCAAAGTGGGTTTAATACTATTAAATTTATTTAAGGCTCAACTCAGTTTTTTTTTCTTTCTTACCAGCCCTCTTTTGACTTAAACATTTCAAACTTTGCTGCAGTGTTCAAGGGTATCACACAATTCAGTAAAATAATTCTTCACTAAATATCTTAATGCTCATGGCCATTGTTCACTTTAAAAATACAGAGATTCTTGTATTGCCTTTTACTGCAAAAACTTTTTTTATTGGCAAGCAATAAAAAAGTCGAGCGCGCTGTCTTACGGACAGCTCTTGTTGTTTGCCTGGTTTTATCTATTGATGTATATATCCTTGTTTTTCAGACTACAACTTCACACATAGAATAGATCATTTTTCATTTGGAGATCAGTCAGGGGGAGTAATTAACCCACTAGATGGAGAAGAACAACTTACCACTCACAGTTAGTTACCTTTTAATGTATTTAACTGCACTCCGTATTTTTCTACCATTGATTCCTTGTTAAATCAGAACACCTTTTGAGTGATAAAGAAAAAAAGATAGAATGAATTATGTTAAGGTGCAGCTACTGGTTACAATAATGAGGACTGTTCTCTTTATTGTAGATATCACATATTTTTGCCAAATTTGAATGCATTTTATGTAAGTGAAGTGACTTATTTAAGCTATATTCACAGTTTACAAACAAAATCACTGTACCCTGTCTTGTGAGCCAATATAATTCAATGTGTACCCTGTCATGCGAGTAAAACCACATGTTACTTCCAATCACTACCTTACTTGGGAGCCTTTATATTATAACTTGTACCTTACAGTACTTGCGATAACAGGAAGTTGATTTGTTTATATACTGTGATAATGGTTACTGATATTAAAGATTCAAAAGTGTCAGGTGAAATTCGAACCTACAGCTGTGAGGGTAAGTAATTGAATGTCAGCCTCTTTAACCAGTCAGCAGCCTACCTGTAGGTTCCTTCTTTATATAATACCTTGTTTGCGGTACTACATGACATACATGTATTGTGTTGAATTTAATTTCAGATTATCATTTGTATCAATACTTCATGAAGATTGTACCTACAGAGGTTCGTACTTACAGTCATCAAGTAGACACATACCAGTATTCCGTCACTGAAAGGGTATGTTATATCTAGATTATTTCAACTGTTACCCAGCTGGAACCGAAAGTTTAGCCTTTACCACCAGTATAGAGCCAGGCCAGCCTGTGTTACTGTGCAGACTAACCAAGCTCTATATTGTAGGGTGATCAACTTATATTCTTTATCTTGATGGTCATATCCCCAATATTGACATTGGACTGTTCCAAAATTGAAGCTGGACAAGTCCATTAAGGAATTTAAGCAGATAAAGGGGTAGATTTATCAGTTTCAGCTCGAGCAAGGAATTAATTTTTGAAATATCAAAGCTATTTACTAAAGCCCCCCCCCAATGTTTAAATATATTTATTTTGTTCTTGATTTGTCAACATTTACAATATTTCTGACCATCTAAACAATGTGACATGTTTACTAATCACAATATACATGTAGTAATTATTGTCTATCATAAAATAATTTCATTTATTTTAATTGCAAAAACTGGGTAACATAGAGTTTTCAAGACTATCAAAAAATCAAAGGATTTGTTTCTTTGATGGGCATGAAAACTTTATAATACACCATCTTTACGAAGGTTAAGCATGAACAGTGCAATGCCTTGTCAATTAGAGAGTATAACACATGTTTACTTTATCCAACAATTGTGACTTATAATGCATAATAATTTTTGTGTTTTGCTGTAATCTTAACATTTTGAAGTCCTTCTCTCATAAAGGACACATCCAGTTTACAAATTTAGCATTGTACAAGAGCAAAAGCAGCTTTGATATGAAAAAAAGAAAAAGATGTATTGAATAACATATTGATATATATTACAGAGTAGACCAATAAATCATGCAAGTGGTAGTCACGGCGTTCCAGGAATTTTTGTCAAATATGATGTATTTGCTTTTAAAATACGAGTTCGAGAAGAGTTGCGTCCCTTTTGGCAGTTTCTGGTGAGACTATGTGGCATAGCTGGTGGTGTTTTTGTTGTCTCAGGTATTTGTTTACAAGGAAATATTCACATTAAAATAAATGCAAAATTAATAGTAAGAATTTTACTTTCAAAGTTATGATTCCTGATTGTTACTTTCCAAGAATAACAGGGCCCTTGCTTTTAATGTTTTGCAATAGTGATGGTGTAAAACTTTGGTAAAATTTTGCCTGCATCTTTATATCTTATAAACCATTGAAAAATAACATATCTCTGGAATCATAATACATGTATCAGGTCTCTGTCCAAGAGCTTACTCTAAGATCAATTATTTATTGAATTATAACCCTTTGTGAACTAATTATAAAGGTTTTTGTCTGTGACCCTCATACAAATATGGAATGTAACTTCTCAAATTCTTATTGGTTCATTATTTTAACCTTTGTTTAACCAAAGAAATTCATTGGAATCATGTTTAGTTTGAATGCTATTTTTAGCACATGTATAAATTTTGGTTTATTTCAGGTTTATTACACGATAGTGTAGGAGTAATTGTCGACGTTTTATGCTGTCGGTTTAAAGTTGGCAAGTATAACCAGGAGAAAAAAGGAGAAACGTTACTATCTGAAGGGTCTGAATCGGACCTATTGAAAATGAAAGAAAACAGTTTGTACACGGACTACGACCAGACGTATAACCCTGTACATCTTGCAGAACAATCTATAAATAGTAACAGCGGAAATTTAAACAATGGACAAGATCTATACAACAGTGGAGATAGATAGTAGTGGATAGTTATTTTAGTAAACTTTGATTTTTTAACACGCAATACATGTATATATAAACAGGTTATAGAGGTATTTTTTATAATAAAAAAAAAACTGCTTGCATATAATCTGAAACATTTTTCTAACATGTATAAGCTAGTCTCGTTTATAATATTGTTGTCACTGTTAAAAATGTTTATGTTAAGACTAATGTAGCGTGAAAATGTAGAATTTTTCCCCAAATTTCAACTGCTCGAGTTATTTTTCTCCCAAACATTTCAACTGCTTAATCATTTCCCCCCATCCCCCTGTCAAGGCATTTTCCCCCTGAATTTCAACTTCTTGGGACAATTTTTTCTCCGAGATGGACAATTTTAACTTCTTTCATGATTTCTTTTGTAGACACTTTTAGTTTAGATATCACTTACAAAATTTTTTAGCAGCTTAAAAAATCCATCAATATAAACAACAATAGCCAGCATATTTATGTACCTTAAGACTTACCATGTTTTCACACCATTTAAAACTTTCTGTTGTCATTATGTTCTTTGAACAAAACATCTCTCCATGTTAAAGTAACAGTTAACAAATTTACATTGCAGGTGGTAATGTTATACATGTAGGTGAAATATTAAGATTATGTATTTAATACATGTACTGAAATGCCTTACAATATGCTATGATAGTTGTGTATAGAAAATGAGAGATATATGTATGTTGAATGTTTCTTTGAAATTAGACACCAAAGTTTACCAAACCTTATTGCCATGAACCCCAGTAGAAATTGTTAAAGATTATTTGCTTTGAAACTTGAAATATTATGTTTACAGAATCTTATGTTATCGAAATTTGACATAAATTAACAAAGCCTTTTTGCTTTAAAACTTTGCACAATAAATTAACAAAGTCTTTTTGTCTTTGAAACTTGACATAAATTAATAAAGCCTTGTAGCTTTTAAAGTTGATACAAACTCACAGAGTGTTGTTATTGCTTTGAAATATGACACAAATTAACAAAGCTATATTGCTTTGAAACTTGACAAAAATTAACAGAGCCTTATTGTTTTAAACTTGACATAAATACTTGTATACAGAGCCTTGTTGCTTTGAAAATATTGACACAGATCAAAGCTTTATTGCCTGATCAAAAATAAACAAGATGTGTAAGATGAACAATGTGGAGATATAACAGATTGAACACAATATTATAACAATTTACATGACCATACCTTTCAAAACACAAAAGTAAATTGTATATAAGTGATTTGATATGAATAATGATACTGTTGAAACATTAAAAAGTTCAAGTATTCATTGAATATATTTTAAATTTTGAATGCTTGTGTACTGAGTCTGTACTGCATTTTGAATGTTTGTCATGAATTTTTGTTAAGGCAGTAATTAATAAGTTTAGTTTTGCTGAATTGACATGAAAACCATTAAAATGTACATAATGTTTTACAGCACTCTGGTTTTGTGTAGGATGTTTATATGCTTATTGATGTATTTATTTTGTTCTTTGTATCAGAAATTAAGCTTTAATATTTTATGTTCTTATTCAATTGTTTTTTAACATGTATAAATGTTTATATATTCATTTCTTTGCATGGATAATTATTTATTTAATCACTTTACATTCCTATAAGCAGTAAACATACTTACTTTTGATTCATACAGAATTTAGTTTGATTGTGTAGGAAGCTGTATGCACATATAAACACTCACTAATCCATTTCAGGAACCAACCAGTACTAATGAGTGTAAAGTTTCTTGTTCAAGGAAGTAACAGCTTGTCCCTTACAGGGTTAGCACCCGCGCTGTCAGCAATAATTTAATGACGAGTTAACCACTCAGCCACACACCTGTCACTAAATTTAATGATGTTCAATGTAAATACAAAATATATAGACACATAGGATATAGTTATATTATATTTTTTTCCTTTGATTTGTTAGTGTTTAATATATTTAATGAAGAGAAAAGTAATTTTATTTCATTATAAAGGAGCACAAGGAGCACGAGCCATACTAGTTGTTTTTATGAACACTTAGAAGAGAAATTGTTTAAGATTCTAAAACTATTGTCAAGTAGACTAATATGTGTTTTGAGCTAATCTTAAGCGTTTTTGATTTTCAATATATATTGTGCAATAGTATGCAAAAATAGTCAGTGCTTTGTAATGGGGATGAAAATAGTACATGTAATTTCACATCAATAATGACATGAATGGGAGTTTTTAAAAATACTTTATATATTTGTTTCTTAAGTTTTTTATTACAATTTAAATATTTATTTAGAGGCATATAGCTTTAAAGTATGATATTTGTTTTCTATCTTATTAAATTGGATTGTATTTTCAAGAACAAAATTCATTAAATGGACACACAAATTGCAAGGAATAAATCTTAAGGAGTTATGATTGACTCCTACATATTTAGGAAACTTGCTTTGATAAAATTGGAAGTTTTGCCATTTTCCAATCATTTTTTGACATTTATCCATAATATGAAATCCATGATTTTCATTATTTATTTTAAACTGTATACATATTCTCTTTTGTTAATGTTTATAATTGTGAAACTTACTATGTACGGTCAAACCTGTGTAAATGACAACCTCTGAAGAAAGGCCACCCTTTAAATAAAGGCCACTCATCAACAATCCTTGAAATATTAAAAAGAAAAATGTAACCTCTAGATAAAGCCCACTTGTCTTGAAGGCAGCATTTGGTCTGTCCCTAGAATGACCTTTGTTCATATGTTTGACTATACATGTATTGACTTGCATGAAAATTGTAGAACAATCTTTGCGTAACTTACAAATGTACTTTAATCTTTGGTATTAATATGCATTGATACATCTTTTTGAATACACACCATGGTCATTGAATGGAACAGTTATAAGCTACCCAAGCAACCTCATTTGTGGGAGATTGCAGGGGAAACTAGCAGTGCATTACCTTCTCACTGTACTAAGCACTGCTGGATAAAAGCATCAGTTTTGTTCTCGTTTAGAAATGTGGTTGAATTTGTGGGTGATAGGGAACAGTTTTGGTCCCAGGAGGTGATGGGTCAGTGGAATTGTTGGCTGTTTTCCTTCGACATTTATGGCAAGTTATTACACAACATTTAGATATGCAATGACTTCCTGTCATTATGTAATTGATATATTAATTGGCAAACAATTGGTTTTTTTCTTTATTTTTTTGTGTCATTCATAGAAGAATTCAAACATTTTTTACCAGATCTGTGCATGCATAATTATAACACATTGTTAAATATGTTTTTAGGCTTTTATTTAGTTTCCATAGGTTTGGCATATGATTACAAATTTTCTTATGATTTTTTTAATGTTTTTTATTTCTTTGGTGTTATTTGATTTTGAGAATAAAAAACAAATTAATAACAGAACCCAACACATATTTAAGGTTTGTTATTGCATTAATGCAAATCATTTTGTTATTCTTAAACATGTGTTAAAGTAAAACTTAATTCCCTTTACTTATATAACTGTTTCATATTTGTTAATGTTTCTTTAAAATGTACTTCTTTTGAATTTTCATTCATTACAAATTACATTAAAAAATACATCAAAAAAGTGTTATTATCTTTAGAATACATGTATATAAATTAGTCATTATCATTGTAATGATTGCCGACCACCGATCACATGGTCCTTGTACATTTATTCTTAAAGGCTTTAATTTCTAGCTCGACTATTCCAAGAATAGGAAGAGCTATTGTATCCACCCCGGTGTTGGCGTCACACTTTGGTTAAATTTTTGAGTGTAAGGTGGTATCTCCAAAATTACTGAATGGAATTGGTTCAAACTTAACCCACTTACTTGAAAGAATGATCAAATGATCATTGTCCAATGCCCATAACTCTGAACATGGATTTTAACAAAATTATGGCCCTTTTTGATATAGAAATGTCTACCCTATCCAGGCTCATGTTTTACTATCAGGTATTGAGAAAAGTCGAACACGGTGTCCTACTGACACCTCTTATTAATAATATAATAAAATAATTAACAGACCGAAATGCAATTCGTAAAGTCGAAACATTTTCGTAAAAATGCCAGGCAATCTGTTTTCTTCGCATCAAAACATGTCGTGTGACACATTTGCTTTGAAATCCTAAACGCAGAAAGATGATTGACCCAGGCAGAGCACCGGTCGATCCAGGCAGAGGCCAGGACGATCCCGGCAGAGCCACAATAGAACCCCGGTGGATTGAAAACGCGCGAAAATGACGACGTTGATACATAATAATATATTTTCTCCTATTTAATAAGTTATTTTATGATATTTTTATGAATAATCCTTATGCGGGACTGGACATAAAGGAAATGTGGAAGAGTTTTAATACAAAGTGCAAACACCGCAAATTGCCGTGATTCTTTTGAAATGAGCCGGGCTTTGCCGTGGCTTTACCTTGATCAACCGTAGCTCCATCGTCATCCTCCGGGGCTCTGCCGGCATTTACCGAGGCTCTGTCGGCATTCACCGGGGCTCTATCGTAACTCTACCGGCTATATCATAAACCGGATCACCCCTGGTTTGTGCCGGCAGAGCTACGGTGCTTCCCAGCCTATATCTTCCCGGATCATCCCGGACCACCCCGGTGATAATAAATATTTAAGTCCATCCGGGGCCGAATGTAGGATGTTCCCGGATCATCCCGAACATTGCCGGCAGAGTACGGATGTACCCCGGTCGTTGGCGGATCATCCCGGACGTCTACCGGGACTCTGCCGGGATGTGACACTGCAGCTTTATCAGAGACCAAAATTGTGAATGAATGAATGAATGAATGAATGAATGAATGAATGAATGAATGAATGAATGAATGAATGAATGAATGAATGAATGAATGAATGAATGAATGAATGAAATGTTTAAGAAACAATATTTGGGTCGTCTTAAAACTGATGTAATTTATACAATATGGTCAATGCAATGATGATATTACGGAGGATAAAACGGACCATCACAACTCCCCCAACTACAAAATCTACATTTAAAGTCTTTGCGTCAAAATTAATGACTGAAAGTGAATTGTAATCGACTTACACAACATTAAAGTTTTAACTGTA